CGCGAGGTGCATGGCGCCGAGCGCCTCCATGGTGCGCTGCAGAAGCGGCGCGTGCCGGTGCCCGACGAGCCCGAGCAGCAGCCGGTACGGGTTGCTGTTGGACGGCGTGTCGAAGATGATGAGCAGCGTCGACACGGTGGCGAGGTAGTGCTGGTAGTACAGCGCGTTTTGCGTGCCTTGGACCTGCGCCGGCAGGCCGGGCGGACGCGCGCGGTGGCTGTGAGGGCTTCGTGGTGTTGCTGACACGGCGTGTCTGCAATGCGGCGCGGAGTCGGGCAGTGGTGACGACGAGGCCGTGTCCGCCGCCTCACCGCCAGTCGTCGTCGGTCGGACCATCAACGTGCTGCGGTCCACGCACAGCGGGACAAAGGTCAGGCTAAAGGTGCACGGCATGTTGAGCCGCGCGCAGTTGGCGCACGACGGCGTCTGCTCGTCGCACTTGACGTGTCTCCTGCGACAGTTGAGGCAGCCGGTAAAGACACGGGGGTGCCATTTCCGCTGCCGCCCGCCGCCCCCGGGCTGCTGTTGCCTATCCGCGAGCGCGGCCGGCGTTGATTTTCGAGGCCGCATCAAAGACGAATGTAAGTAACCGAGACGCAACGAGAGGTGCAACTGCGTTCCGGCTGGGGATAATTTAGTTGCATGGCGGGGTGGCCGCGGGGGGGGCGAGATGCAGCTATTGCTGCTGTCCAATACGCCACAAATGAAACGAAATACGTGATGACTGATTAATGAAGGGGTGCAATCTTTTATCGTCTTCCCCGCTCGAGAGGCAACCAAGCAAAGCCCAGCTCCCTATCAGTTGGCCAACAGGACGCCGTGCATTTCTACACTGATAGCATACTAGGCATTTAGGTGTCGATCTGAGTGCATTGCTTCGTCACCGCCACGGTGTCTCCCCGAATGATTCAGTCAGCCGAATTGAGCCTCATCATAAAGCCGGGTGCGTTTGTCAGCGTCAAGCTCGTCATTAGTGCCGCCATCATGATTATTTAGTCGCCGTCTCACACTAAAAATGTCGTGCCGTACTGAGTCACCGGCCCAGCTCTTATAACTACACCATATGACGACATCATCGACCGCCCCTCATCCGCAACACGCATCAACTCACGCAGCATCATGTCTCCAAGCGCCCTTTCACCGCTCATCTCCATCAAGGCGCTCGCCTTTGACGTCTTTGGCACGACCGTCGACTGGCGCACCTCGGTCACGGACGAGCTGGAGCTGCGCGTCCACCGCAAGCTGCGCACCCGGGACCGCGGCGCCCCGTCTGCCGCGCTGCGCGCGCGCCTCGAGCACCTCGGCGCCGACCACGCGCCCGACGGGGAGCCGTGGACGGCGCGCTTCGCCGACGCCTGGCGTGCCGCGTACTGGCGCTTTGTGCGGTCGCAGGCGCGCGCCGGCGTGCACGACGCCGCCGCCGCGTTTCCCACCACCGAGGCGCACCTGCGCGCCAGCCTGGAGCGTCTGCTGGACGAGTGGCAGCTCGCGGGGCTGTTCGCCGACGCCGAGCGCGCGTCGCTGAGCATGGTCTGGCACCGCCTCGCGCCCTGGCCCGACACGGTGCCGGGGCTGGAGAGGCTCGCGGCGCCGCCGCTGCATCTGCAGACGGCGACGCTGAGCAACGGCAGCACCGGTTTGGTGCGGGATCTAAACGACTTTGGGGAGCTCGGCTTTCAGCACCTGTTTTGCGCCGAGTCGTTGCGGGCGTACAAGCCCGCGCCGGAGACGTACCTCGGCGCGGCCGCGGCGCTGGGCTTGCAGCCGCGCGAGGTCGCCATGGTCGCGGCGCACATGGCGGATCTGGAGGCGGCGAGGGACGTTGGGTTACGGACCGTGTACGTGGAGAGGCGCGGAGAGGAGCAGTGGGATGCGGACAAGCTCGCTGAGGCGAGGACGTGGGTTGATCTTTGGATCAGCGGGGATGAGGATGGGTTTGTCGCGCTGGCGGAGCGGCTTGAGGAGCTGAGGGCATAGCAAGGTGACTCCCGACCTATGGGATCCAGTAGTCCTACATTTACCAAACCTATAAACTCAAGTCTCGGCTTGGTGATGATACATGTTGATTTGACATTATTTCAGCATGATTTACGACTTTGTCATCCGTCTACGCAGACAATTCAAGGTGCACGTCCTACCATCCTACCCTACATCATAAAAGCTGTCGGCTCGACGCTAGACATGAGACGATGCAATGAAACATGTCAGATAGATTGGACGATTATGCATCCGGAAAAACAAAACAAGGCAGGACTAAACAGCGCCACTGGAGAAAGGCCCGAGACGATGTTGGCGCACAATGGCAGCATTTCCTGCAGCCCCAGGGTGGCAGGGTGGACGTCCAAGCGCCATCTATCTGTAACACGAGGCTCATTTCATTGCACCAGCTGAAAATAAGAGATACAGTGATTGGTACGTTTCTTGGCAAAAGGCGCCTTTTAAAAAAATAGAATACAAAATGCAAAAAACGGGTATCCATACCCCCGTAGGCGCCGTTTATTTGTCTCCGTCTCCGACGCCCAGTTACGCGACAACGCGCAGACAATAACAAATCGAAACAAGGTTGCGGGTTGCATAAGAGGGTACATCGGCCGGCGATCTCATAAAGTAAAAATCTGAGCGTTTTTTTTCCCTTGCCAGTCAAATCAGTGAAGAAATTCATGGAGGGCGACCCGCCACGAGGAGGGGCGGCGCTGTGACGGTGGCGACACTCTAGATTTTCATGCGCATATTGAGCCACGAGGCTTTTTGTTGCTCGCCCATTGTCATTTCACCATTCTGGCTACCCCTGCTGGGCTTTTCAATGTTCTTGTGTTGGGCTTGGATTCAGCGGCTGGGCGGATGATGGGCTTGAACACAGGAGCGAATCAAGGGGCTTTGGGTATCCACGCATCGCTGAAAGGCTGATCGAGCAGGTCATTACAAAATAACTAGTTGGTTATATGTACATGTGCGCCATCTTCGCTCGCTCGGCAGTTGGGAGCACGTGGACCAGCACGCGGGACCTAAATTATAAAGGAGGATGAAGAAGGGCTGTCGCGATCCATCTCAAGAAAACGAGATGAAACGATGTCGAGATGACAAGAAGAAAAAGAAAAAAAAATCGCCTTGTACAAGACCGCCACAAAACCCACGGAAATCAATGGAAATTGCCAAGGACTGTTGGACTGGTACCAAAATTAAATAGCAGCGCCCACGTCCCTGCACGTGTACCGAGCAGTTGCATCCGGGGAAGCGAGATGGATGATGATCGGTACCAAGTCGCTATCAGCAACCACGGATAACGGTAGTCCAACCTGATCGACGAGGGTGATCCAGCGCATGGTACGAGTAACTATCTCCCCTTGGCAAGACACCTGTAAAGACGAGCAGAGCCTATACTCCGTCGTGGATGCTACGGTCGCATGTTGTACATTTGTTCATGCCGTGCAGTCAATGCGAGTGATGGCTGCATGGAACCAATGACACACGGAGCTAAAGTTAGTTAGCAAAAGAAGGGGAACAAAAAAGCACGGATGACAACTTGGCGAGCTTTTGTATTACAGTATAATACCGCCTCCATTCTGTCGCATGCTGGGTCAGCATTGGTCCCGGAAGGTCATTCCGTGCGTCTTGTGTATCCAGTGGCTTGGAGGCTAGTTGGAAGAAAAAAAAAAAAAGTTCAAAGTCCAGCTAAGCAGGTTTTGTGAAGCAATTTCTGATGCTGGAGTCATGGCTGGCCGTCGCGATCAGTGACAAGCAACCACTGAGAGGCCGAGCCTCCCGCCCGCCGGCGCTTCTCCGAGACAGGTTCTATTTTCCATTTGTTCGAATGATAATAAATGAATCAGCTTGGAAAATAGAACCAGCAGTTTGTCCGTTTTTCGCGCCGCGCGTGGCTTGCGCTAGGACCCGTGGAGAGCGCCTCATGGCTTGTGGATCTGCGGGAAGTCGACTTGACCAAAAGGCCCCAAACGGGCCGCGGCCGCTCAACTTCGATGTGCTGTCCTTTTTTTTCTTTCCTTTTTTTCCTTTTTTCCCCTTGCTTTTTCCCGACAAAGTATCCCCCTCCGGTTGCTCTCGTCACTTCCTCCACCTCCTGGTCGCCAGGGAGCGACACAGGTTCCTTCTAGATTCGGACGTTATTTTTAAACATTTGAAACAAGCTGGAGATGGCAAAGGGGGACGGCAAAAGGACGCCACACGATATGGTTGGGTGCCAGCATGCTCCCCTTTTCCCCCTCCTTGTTGCGAAAGATTTGCTTCGCCCCGAGCACCCGGGCCGGTCCCTAGCCCGAGGCAGGACCAACCGTGGTGTGGTGGGCTCGGATTTTTTTTTCTTTCTTCACCAGAGAACCATTGACAGCATACATAGTTAGCTTCCCGAGGATTTCCAGGTTTTTCCCCAGTTTAAATTTCACAAGGTTTTAGTAGGGTTGCTTCGCGTCGTCGTCTAGTGGTTCTTAGTTTGGCCAATTCTTCAGTAACTAACATCTTCGACGCCATCGCATGTGGTTTATCTTCGGTTAATGATACGGAGTACGGGGATACTCAAGTTGGGAAACTCCTCCCGCCCCCTCCCCCCAAAACAAATGCATGATGAGTTGCTCGATTCAGGCTGCATGAGCAAGACAAAGTGCCCGGGTCCTCCGCCAACTTCACCCCTGCGCTGCACAACCAGGGCTTTTTGATACTGATAGTCATCGTCTCTTGGACCTCCACAAAATCGAGTGGCCACGGTTCACAATGAGCTGAGACCCAACGATGCTGGGTCCACTGGCTTTTCCCCCGCCGCTCCGTCATCAGCGAACAAGGAAGGGAATTGGCAAGTTGCTAGCCGTCTCGGACAGGGGTGGTGTGATTGGCCTTGCATGTGCAATAAATGAAGAACCATGCAGGGATTGCACAAGAACGAGATTAGGCACAACGCTTGCTTGATTCGCTGCGTGGCTCAGGGTCAGAAACCAGGCCGTTTTGTGTCTTATTATGCCCAACTCGGACAGCATTTATTGGCTACCAATGGTTAGACAATCGTGCGTTGCGATTACTCTCGAGGAACATAAACCGATCTCTAGCATGTGCCGAGCAGGCCGTCGCTGGTAGTGAGTATGGTAGTCGGCGGAGAGAGGTCATGCCACTGATTGGTAAAGGGACGCCAACCACGGACGCAATTGAGGCGGATGGCTTCCGACAGGCTGGGCAAGACACTGGATAAGAGCGTCAGTCATCACAAGATCCTTGTCGAGCGGCCCGTTTGGCAGGAAGCTGGTGGAACTTCATTTGTACTGCGACCGGGGACCGCCACTACTGTGACCGGGGCAAGGACGCCATTCATTGCGTGGACCGTGGTCAGGAACCATCTTGCCATCAACGACGTACTGGTACATGTGCCATTGTCTTGTCGGGTTTTGCTGCAGGTGACTGGCCTAGGTTGGGCCGTGGCACGTCCGGGTCCCCCATGAATCCCGGCATGGTTCAGGAACAGCATCATGGAGTCAATCCCTGCAGAAATTAAAATAACATCATGAGCACGTCCTTGATGATTATCCCTTGATAAACACTGAGTGAGTACTGACTGTAACAAGTCGTGGCTGCAGCGAGATGACCACCACAAAGAAAAAGGGAGAAGCATCATGTATATGAGACGGCCTCTGAATAATTCGCGATTCGTACTGGTCAAGAGTTTGGACCTGTATCCGTAGTAAGCAAGCTGCTCCGTGCCGACATGTATCATGGACCATGGTAGGAGTAACTACATGTCCATCGCATGAATGATGAATGTTCAACTACGACTCAACTACCAGTATTAGTAATTATTTAGTCTCGTCAACTTGCCTTGTCAACTCGTTATCCCCCCCTATGCCCATGGCAAGCTGCCCACTCAAAAAAGTGCTACCAAGCAGCCTAGCTCCCACCAAACAAGGGCCAAACGCCTAGTTCGGCCCAATTTCGCCAGAGCTTCCCTCTTGCCTCTCTTCTCCTTCTTCTTTTTCCTCTTTTTTTTTTCTTATTACCTTGTGCTGCGACCCCGTCGCGCTGTCGGATTAGATTCGGGCGTTTTGAAAAAGCTACCATTCTTTCTTTCGGCTGCGGGATGCCTCTGTTCTGCATCTTTGACTGTCTTTCTGTGAGTCGTCCCCGGCAGCCCACCAGCACGACTCTTACGACTCTTTGACATGTCTCGATTTGCCGACCGTTGCAACTGACTCTTTGGCTCCCAGTGCTCCAGAATGTTTCTCTCTTGATTCGGGGCCTTTGTTATCCTCCCCCCCATCGTTCAATCGCTTTTGCTGTGCTGCCGAAACGTCTGGTCACTGCTCGCGTTGCCTCAACCTATGATACCCGAACATCACTGCGCCGGCCGCGATTAAAAACCCGTTTGGCTTCTTGCTTGTCGTTCGCGCAATTCTCGAACCCAACATCGCCCAATTCTACAATCTCATATTGTCCTTGCTCGCTTTCCTTTTCCGAATATTTTCTGCAGACCATCGACGCCCACGACACGACCCCCTTTTGCCTCGACTCCGGACCGAGCCTCTGAGACGTGCCCATATTCTTTCTTTTCCAGACTCGAGCGAGCGTGCGTAAGTGATGCTTCCCTTCCTGGCCGCGCATGAACCTCTACACTGCTGTCACTCATTGTCATTTATACCCATTCAGCTAACAATTGACCAGTTACAAAAAGTTTCCTTCACCGCTGCAGAAAACGGCAAAGGCGTCCCTTTTCTTTTTCTCAGCGCCCTATCCGCGGCGCGCTAGCTGTCCTATTGCCACTTGTAAGTCGACCTAGCTCGTCCTGGCCGCCAGAAAACGTTGCTTCTTATTTTCCTTCGCAGCGGCTTCTCTTTCCCAATCGAAATACGCTAACAACGCTCCAGTTGACTGGTTAATGCGCCATTGCCGAGTGGACCTTGTCGCAGTTGCAAGTCCTCACCTACGTCTGCAGGGATCTTTGGTGGCTTGCAACCCTCCCGGTCCACCCCCGCTGATTGTCTTGCCTCGAAACTAGGTTACTGAGGCGCTAGGCAGAGTAACAAAAGAGGAATACACCTTGGGTTGAATCTAGGTTGTCTTTCTTCTCCTCTGACCTCGTTGGCCGTAGTCTCACCACGCATTGCCAAAATGGGTGAGTGGGAGACGGAGAACGAGAAGGCGGGCAATCTCGCTGCCCGCGAAGCGAATCGCAGGTCATCTTCGAGGTCCGTCAAGTCACGCCGGAGATCCAAGACGCCCCCAAACAGGTCCATTTCCCCCGCCGTCGCAGACAAAGCCGCCAAGCGCTCCTCCCGCGACACCAGCATGGACGAGTCGATTAGTATTCTGGACCCTCGGCGATTTACGCCCACTCTCCACGCCAACCTGGTCTCCGAGATTCTTACCCTACGCAGAGATCAGGAGGACAAGACCAAACTCATTGAGAGTCTCGAGGGATGCCTGTTTTCCACAAAGGAGGAGAACGAATCGCTGCAGGCAAGCTTCGCCACGCTCAGCAAGGAGAGCCGCTCTCTCAAACGCCAGCTCTCTCTTCTCGAAGGAGGAACGTCGTCTGCTCTTGGTGAACTCGCGCGTGAGCGGGACGACGCCGTCGAGTCCATCGCAGAGAACAAGAAGCGATGGGACGCCGCGCAGAAAAAGATTCGCAGCCTGGAAGACGAGTCTCAGCGCGTGCACGAGCAGTGGGCCAAGGAAAAGGACGATTGGGAGGACGAGAGGCGCAAGTACGACCGCAAAATCCACATCTCCGAAACCCGCCTCAAGACGATTCTCGATGAAGTCGCCGCCTACCAAGATGCCCAGGAAGAGCTCAATGACGAACCGGACATGGCGCCAAAAGAAAACGACGGCGCCAGCATCCGCACCATGAGCATGACGGGCAGCATCCGTTACTCGCTTCTCAACAGCCCCGGGCCAGCCAATGCGAACGGAGCGTGCTTGGCGGATGAGCTCAATCTGGACGACGAGGACAGCGATGCCGCGGCTACCGAGAGTGTCTTTTCAAGTCCGCGCCACAAGCGCACTGTCAGTCGCGACACGGCGCCCATCGGCAGAAGGCATCGCAGAGATTGGAGTGTGGAAAGCCTCGGCCGGCCTGGCAGCGCTGCCCGCTCACGTCTGTTTTTCAACCCCAATGTTCTCGGCATCCTGCAAGGCGAGGACGAAGAGCCATCTGCTTCGATTGCGCCTCCCCCAAGTTACAGAGACACTGGTGTGCAGTTCTCCCCGCCGCCCTCGCCCAAGCTGGAGGCGTCGCGCAAGGCCGAGGCGGAAACGGTCAGCCGCATCGTCAACGAGATCGAGGCCAACCAGCGTCGCAAACGAGTCCAGCCCGTCGTCTCCTGGCCTGGTAAACCTGCTGCCGTGGACCATGTTCAGCAGCGACACATGGTCTCGGCTGCCGCACAAACGGTCGAGACGCCACTTAGCCCGCCGCGAACACCAAAGGCGGTCTTTGAGCCCGCAACGCCTCCCCCAGAAGAAATTGAGCCGACGATGGTGTCAGCCGCGACGCAGACGGACAAGCCGGAGACGCCTGTTCTCAACATTGTGCCTCCCCTGACGCCGCCTATGACTGCCATGCCCATTCCCAGTATCAGCGTGCAGCCGCCCACCAGCAGGCCGACTACCCCCAGATCGCCCATGCTGCCGCCTTACATGAAGAACTTTGGCTGTCAAGTCAACATCTCCTATGCTGTGCCCATGGTCGAAGCGTCTGTCCAGACCGAAGGCATCCAGGTAGACAAGAGACTGGCTACGTTGCCACCCCACCTCCAGCCCTCTGCCATCTCTTCGCGACCGACGTCTCCCAACAAGGATGGAGTTGACCGTGGGAAGAGCTTTACGCCAGTGCCTGGCAATCTCCCGCCACGCAACCCCCGCCGCCTCACCAAGACGGCGACAGACTTGCCATCATCGCCCATTTCTATGGCGGGAGACGAAGAGGATGCCCTCGCCTCCTATCTCCACCACGATGATGTAGAGAATATCAGGCTGAGTGGCAGCCGACGACACGGCGGGCTATTTGCGGGCTTTGAAACACAAAGCTCTGATGAGGCGGAGGAATTCGGTGAAGTTGACCTGAGTGATTCCGAGTACCGCACTGCGCTCTCAGCGCCGCGACCTCACTCCAAGACGGGGCGTCCCATAAAGCGCAACTCGTTTGGCATGGCGACGACTTCCCCAGAGCAAGCCGTCTTCAAGCACGCGGTCGGTGGCTCTGCCAAGGTGTATGGCACCGATGTCTACGGTAGCACTGTGCCGTCAGATATGGACGCCGGCAGCCGCAGTCATAGGCGCAAGCTGAGCAAGCCGCTCGAGAAATACCCCGGCCATGGCAACAGCTCCAGTCGCTCGAGCGATATCCGGAAGCACGCCATGATCAACGGCTCCATCGCGAGCCAGCAGACTAGATCTCGCAGCCCGAGCCTGCCCGACGGCCGCAACCCCCCGTTCCCGATCCCGCTCCGGGACAGCTCCAAGCGGCTGTCGTCTTCCTTCATGGGGTCGCCCAGCGAAGAATACAGCCCTACCCGGGCCGACAGCGCCTTTCGCCGGGGCAGCAGCAGTCGCGGCAGCTACTACGGCGGCAGTGTCCGGCGGGTTCGATCGGCGACTGCGATGCCGCGCCATCAGCGGTACCGCAGACACGGCAGCCGGTCGCCGCCGCCCCTGTCCGTGTCTACCGAGGCCCCAGAGAGCCCGGGCTTGCCTCCCCTGCCGCGCAACGACATCACGACCCCTCGGGGCAAGGCGCCTGGCAGCTCGCCCTTCCAACGGCACCGCCACGAGCTGTCGACCAACACTGACAACACGGCCAACACGGACCCCATGTCCACCTCGCACGGGTCCCACGCGACGAGCGTCGTCGACGCCATTGCGCAGACCATGGTCGGCGAGTGGATGTTTAAATATGTGCGCCGTCGCAAGTCGTTTAGCGTGCCGGACGGCAACGGCAAGGACGACACGGGCAACGATCGTCACAAGCGATGGGTGTGGCTCGCGCCGTACGAGAGGTCTATCCTATGGAGCAGCAAGCAGCCCTCCTCCGGCAGCGCGTTGATGGGCAAGACGGGGCGCAAGCGTAAGCTCTTCCTGCTTCTCCTCCTTGAAATTACCCAGTGCTTGCTTGTGTGGTTGTTTGGCATCATAGGCTAACCTTGTTTGTGCGGTAGTGACCATCCAATCCGTCCTCGACGTCAAGGACGACAATCCCGTTCCCAAGGGTGCCCAAACTATTTTTAATCGCTCCATTCTCATTCTCACACCCCAGCGCGCTCTGAAGTTTACCGCCGGCTCATCAGAGCGCCATTACCTCTGGCTCACGGCCCTTTCCTTTCTCGCCCACTCGTCGCAAGCGGTGCCGGAGAACTTGTCGGCACCCCAGCCCCTGGTCGTCAAGCAGCCGCACCAACAGCAAGTCCCTGAATTCGAACCACCGCAGACCAAGGCTCGTCGCCCTGGCATCAGAGACTCGATTCGCCTCGCCAAGAATAGGACTGCTATTACCAACCGCGCTGGCCCTCCCAGTGCACCCAGTATACCTAGTGTCCCAAGTGTTCCAAGTGTGCCTTCCTCGCGCATGGGTGAGGTTTCAAGCTCCCGTCCCCCGCCATCGACAGGCACGGCATCCGTCAGCCACCACAGAGAGACATCACACGATACTGCAGAGCCTCCCATGATTCAGCGCTACAATGAGCTCTCGCAGACGGCTTCTCATGGACGAAAGCGGAGTAACACGGGTGGACAGCAGCACGTTCCTCCGCCGTTGTCATTTCGGGGCTTCTCGGGGCCACTAGGCAGCTCACACGACCATGGTCGCAGCACGACGACCAACACTCCGGCGTCTTCGGACATGTTTCAGTCGCAGGCGTCCAGCAACACTACGTGGGGCGGCTCTGAGCGAGCGTCGGAAGCGTCGAGCCGGCCGGGCAACTTTTTCGACGCCATCGGTACGGTTCGCATGGAGGCCTTTATCAGCCCGCTCGCCTCTACCCAAGCAGCACCGCTGTCTGCGCAAGACGAGTTCCGCCACGTTGTGCGTCGCCGCAGCAAGGACCATCGGAGACGCCACAGCCGCAGCCGCAGCCGCAACGGTGACGGCTTCAACCATCATGCTCGGGGAGGCAGTGGCCGCCGTGGCTACGACGACTTTTACGGAGGCAGCCGGACGGCCGGCGAAGAGGAATACTTTCGAGACGACCCTTTTAAGGGATTCTAATCGTCTCTTATAGATGTATACACGCACCAGAAAGCCAGAGGCTAAGATGTACAGTAGTGCATTAGCATGTACAGGACAGCACTCCCTATCTTTTTTCTCTCATTCTTTCTATTTTTTATTCTTGAAATGTTTTTCATCATGGGACGGGACATGGACGATATATGCCAATGGACATTTGGTGGTCAGCTATCACAGCATTTTCTATTCAATCTACTGGCGTGGCGTTTTTGTTGGCACGTTGCTGCTGCAAGTGCATTTATCTATCGCGCAATTTTTTTGTACTTCAGTTTCAATGAGACATTCTCCATTTAGTATGATCGTGCGGATTCGTGCGTGCCGAATGCTGGGCTTCTGTGAGGCAATGTGACGAAGTGACTAGAAACACCATACGCAATATGCAATACGCAATACATGACGCATGTATCATGTGCAAAAGCCGATAAATGCCTCCCTCGGCTAAATTGAAACGAGGCTGTGGTGAAACAAGAGAGAAAAGGCCCAAAGAGCTGGGTTGGTAGTATACACAAAGAAGAAACAAATAGAATGACAAGATGAAGAAGATCAATCATAAAGATCGCTCATGAGGAAAAAGCTGCCCCCTACGATCCCTACAGTGCACAACATAGTTAGAATCGCTGCGCCGGCCCTATCTGACGTGACAATGGCTCTCGGCTGCGGCAGCGGCTGGGCGGCGGTACTTCCGGCGTTTGGATTGCCCTTTGAGGTGCCGCGATCCTCGCCCGTCGCGGGGGGCTTGGCGTCTTCGAGCAAGTTATAAAAGACGGCGGCGAGGGCATTCATCTGGGGCCCGACGCCGGCCAGCCCGTCGTACTTGGGCTCGAGCCAGGAGAAGCCGCAGGCGGTGCCGTCGATGCCCTGAAACGTGCCGCCGACTGGCCCGGTGCCGCCGACTGGCCCGGTGCAGGCGGCGGCGGCGTCCCTGGCGGCCTGCTGGATCAGCGCGCGGATGCCGTCGGCGGTCCAGGGCGCCATCTTGGACGTGTAGGCCAGACAGCGCAGCAGGTAGCCCTTGAAGCTGACCTGGTTCTGGTCGCAGCCGCGGGGCTGGGTCTCGCACGGGGGCTCCCAGAGGTGGCTGCCGTTGTGGGAGACGAACATGCGGGTGGTGAAATTGAGGAGCCCGTCGACGTGCGTCTTCCAGATATCCTGCTTGGTGTAGTCGTACATGGCGGCGGCGCCGGCAAGCCAGATGCCGGCGTTGTAGCTGAACTGGACGTCGTGCAGGCGGTCGCAGGTCTGCGTGGCGTCAATGACGTTGTAGCCGTCGTAGACCTCGTAGTTGGTGCCGATGAGGCCGATGCCGGCCTCCCAGGCGTAGATCTTGGCTGCCCACTCGGCGTACGTGTCGTTGCGGGTGAAGCGGGCGAGGCGGGCGGCGACGTTGAAGAAGCAGCCGTTGGCGATGCTGTTCTTGTAGTCGTAGCCCTTCAGGAAGCTATAGACCTGCCAGCGCAGGCCGCCGCCGCACAGCCCGTTCTCCTCGTTCCAGCGCACCACGTACTCGTTGAAGACGGCCTGCCCGCCGGCGAGCCACTGCGGGGTGTCGGACGGCGGGTTCGGGAAGGCGGCCTCGGCGGCCATCATGGTGGTCATGGCCCAGAAGCCCTGGTCGTCGTTGCCCATGGCGTTGGATTGGTTGCGCGGGAGGAAGTCGCCGGTGGGCGCGTTGATCTGGTGCATCATGCCCTGCATGACGATTTCGTTGTATGTCGTGTCGCCCGTGTAGTACCAGTAGTCGATGAGATGGCCAAACATGCCGCCCGCCTCCCACCCTGTGAAGGGAGAGCTGTTAGAAGAATCGCGAGGGGGGGATGAGTTGGTTTGCGATGCGTACAGTAGTATGGACCCGGTAATAGACCGGGGATGCCGCCCGTGAGATTTCCATTGTAGTATTTGACGAGACCGTATGCGATGGTGCTGGCGGTATCTTTGATGGATGCTGGGGTATGGTTAGTGGGCGAGATCGAAGCCTGACAAAAACACTTGTACCTTTACTGCTGAGATCAATCTCCAAGGCGTTGCTCGGTGCTGCCAGCAGCAGAGACACGAGACTGACTGCCAAGCCCCTCATTCTATGCGTACGTCGTCCGGCGCAGCCGGGCACATTGGGGGTTGAGAGAAGCGTCTAGGAAAAATGGTCGCCTGGCTCGATTTGGAAAGAATTATTTACCGAAAGGAAGAAAGGAAAAGAAAGAAATCGACGACGAAAGCAAACGAACTGATGCTGGAGCAGCATAGAAAATCGGATGCACCGGCGATGGATGGGATGAATGATGGCTGCTGCTGCCTATAGGCTGTGGTGGGCATTTGGGCTCATTTGCCATCACACGACATTGAGATGGCGCAGCCCTCCTAGCTGTCAAATTTGCGGTAGCCCCTCAAGGTGAAGAATGATAAAAATAGACGACCGTCAATGCCAAGACTGGTCGAATATGGCCGCACTGGTGATAGTCGACAGTCTAGTAGCCTGGGCATGGATCTCGCTGCGCCACCCGACGCGTGTGACAGAATACGAGAATGGAGGGGCGAGGAGGGGCGAAGAGGGGCAAGGGAAATGAATAAAAAAACCATCAACTCGGATCTTGAGAGGAGGATCTTGTCTTCATAACTAGAAGCTACAGGTATTATGAATCAGCCTATCGGTAACGGCGTGTATGATCTCCTCAACCTTATTCGCATCCGTTTGCTAGTGGCAAGCCTTCTACATTACCCCACTACTTAAATGTATGCGTAGAAACCTTATTTACATAATTCGCCCTATCATTTATAAGTTGAGATGCTCTAATATTCTATACAACTAGTACAAGTTATAGGCAAGGCCTTTCTACCAACTGTTGGATAATTATCCCGCCTCATAACAAGTGCCGCTGGAAGGGCCGACACAGCACTGCAAGACTTTGGCTGTGTTTGCAAAGATGGTGATCCGTTTGCTCCGCTTACGTCACTGGATTTGCCAAGTGACACCTTTCATCTGGCATGTCGCTTCGGAGTCGAATATGGTTGTGACACGTCCACGGTGGTGTAATTCGCGGGTTACTAAGCATTCACTGGCCACAAATGCTGACAGCCTGTGAGCGCTTGTAATCGGACCCTTCCAATTTTGCCATCCGCACCGACATCATCATCAGTACCTGGTCCATCGTCAAACGCTCCTCTGGGCGAAAAACGAACAGGTTCCGCCTCAGATTCAAGATGGCCGCCTCTTCATAGCCCCTAGACTCGCCCATCCCACCATCTTGCCGAAAGCGCTAGGCCACCCTCCGCAAAAGAAACGGAAATGCTGCCACACATGCAGTTTATAATGCGAGCGCCATCGACCAAGACTGCGCAACATGCTCACTTCGTGCGGGAAAGTGTCTGCCATTCCAAAATCTGAGAAGCAATAAATACATTGTTCTGATTCGGCACATCAACTTGCCGACTGTCACTCGTTCCACGCCCCACCTTTCTGATGCCTGTTCTGATGCCTGTTCTACTTCCAAGAAGCAACGCACATCGTACCACGCATCAGACAACTACGGCGTGCCACCAGCGCCTCTCTTCTTGTCTTGTCTATTGCTACTGTCTTAACCGAAAAAAAAAATGAACCAAGAACGTGAAAACTATGACAATCTTGCTTGGGACCTGAACGATGATGCGCTGGAAAATGCGCAAAGTCAACTCATGCGCCGCTCATTCTGTGCTGACATTGTGTCAGTGGTCTCAGAGCAGTTCGGGAAAGAAGCGATATTGGTGCCTCCTTGCCGATTAGGAGGTTACAACATGCTATATAGAGTACGCGTTGATGGATTACCCAGCGATGTCCTAGTCCGTGTGCCCTGTCCCAGCCAGTGCCAGTTCCCTAAGGAGAAGACGCTCCAAGAGGCGGCAACTGCGCTGCTGCTTCAACAGAGAACTCAATTACCCGTCCCAAAGCTCTTCCAATACGAGACCGAATCCACGATTGGCCCGCTTTTGATGTTGCAATACATTGCAAACGAAGGAGACATGTCGGATGTCCTGTCAAGGCCGAGGCACGATACCAATGAAGTACCGGTGCTGAGTGAGGACCTCAGCGAAGACATGCTGCATAGTATGTATTTAAAGTTGGCCAAGTGCATTTTGCAACTTTATCAACCAGAGTTCAGTCGAATCGGATCTCTAAATACAGAAAGCAACGGTCATATTTCGGTGCAAGGAAGGCCAATCACGCAGAACATGAGCAACATGATACAACTAGCAAACATACCCCGAGATGTGTTACCATCACCAACAACTACATACACATCGGCACATGAGTGGTACAACGCATTAGCGAATATGCACCTAGCTCAGTTGGTATTTCAACACAACGATCTAGTAACGTCGGAAGATGATTGCAGAAATAAATATATCTCGAGATATTTGTTCCGCCAGTTGGCCCGGGAGGAGAAGCTTTCGAGTTTTGGGTTTGCCGAGGACAATTGGTCCGCCCAGGCAGCCAAGATGAAAGCCTCTTGCCCAGCACCGGATATGACGGGCCGTTTCCGGCTGTGGTGTGACGACTTGCGGCCAAACAACTTTCTCGTCAACGGAGACAAGGACGTCGTCGCTGTTATTGACTGGGAATTTACGTATGCAGCGCCGACGCAGTTCATTCTCGATCCGCCATGGTGGCTGCTACTGGAAATGCCAGAGATGTGGCCTGCTGGGATAGCGGATTGGGCGGAGCATTATGAACGGGGATTGGGGGTGTGGCTCTCGTGCATGGAATCGGCTGAATCAACATCGACTGCGTTGCCATTCAAGCTCCACGAATACATGCGCGAGAGCTGGACTACAGGCCGTTTCTGGCTCAGCTACGCGGCAAGAAAGAGCTGGGCGTTTGACGCCATCTACTGGAAGTACCTGGATGCGAGGTTCTTCGGGGAGCGGCAGCAAGTATCCCCGGACGACCCGTCCTGGAAGTCACGCATAAACATGCTCAGTCGTAAAGACAGGCTGGCTATGGACGCGTTTGTGGAGAAGAAGATGAGTGATAGCGTCACTAGACAGTTGGATAGCTGGAGCCCGGACGAGGTTCGTAGCCGCATGGCCGAGGTGCTAATGGAAGATGATGAAATGGGCTTCTAATAGCACCTCGTCAAATCTGTCAAGATAATATTCGCATAGGTTATTGAAGAAGAACCCGTTCATAAAGGTGGGGGTGGCAAAATTACACACTTATAACGATCCTGGGTACTTCTTTGAATGGATGGTAATATTGTATGAAAGACTGACTACAGTGGACTGACTACAGTGGAAGAACCACGAAGACTTATAAAAAGGTTCCCATTCGGATAACATGTCTGGCGACTTCAACATCTAGGAATATTCATCATCGCTGTCAAGCTCATCATCGCTGTCATCGCCAATCCACTCAATTCTCCTGTATCGTTCAGAGGGTCGATCCGACCATGGCCCCAGGTAGGAAGCGTTTTCCACTGCGTGGTCCAGGGAGACCCAGATCCGATAGATGCTCAGTTCTTCAAGACCGTCCTCAGCAGTACGGTACGGATCAGTGTCATACAGAACCAGGTGTTGAAACTCGTCCTGCAACTCCGCCGCCGCGCAAGCTTGCGCATCCCGCAGTAGTTCCAGCACGCCTGCCGTCTCCCACCATGCGGCATAACAGTAGCGCAGACTCAGAGCCATTTCTTCCCAGGACCCTGGCGAGTATGCAGCAGGCGTGTGAGATAGGGCTCCGTCCGGCTCCAATAGAGCAGGCACGTAGTGCTCATTCGCCTTGATGAGCGTGGCGCCGAGTTCGCGAGCGTGTCGTATGAGCTTGCATTCGAGCTGGATGAGGGTCTGGGAGGAATCCTCTAGGAATCGTTTGGAGAGCGGGCTGCGAATCAGCTCGCGCTCAATCAGTCGACATATATCAAGGGGAGTCGAGCGTTGGGCAAAGATCTTTCGGGCAACTCGTATATTGCGAATGTCGACGAGAAGCTTCAGCTTCAACAGCAGAATAGCAGAGACGCCATTGATTGAAGGATAGCTGCTGAAAAAATCAGGCCGCTCGAAAACATCGGCATTGCGAGTGCTGAGATACGGCAGGCTCATGTCTCCCCAGTCGTAGCGGCCATCGGGGTCGCAGGTAGCCCACCACTTTGCAAAGTCGTAGCACTCCTGGTCCCGATCCAGGCGCAGCATCATGGCGGGCACCATGTTCCTCACGCCCATGTTGTCGCCGCGGCACAGGCGCAGCATATCCCGAAGGTGCTTGAGCGCCTCTTTGATGCTGCAGAGCGTGCCTACATTGGGGAGGAGGTCGCCGGCGAGCAGGAAGCGCGCGCGCATGTAGTCGCGGGTGCCGACGAGACCCCAGAAGTGGCCGACCTGCGTCTCGAATACATTGGCGGGCGTCCAAAAGTCCGCGGGCGCCTGCCGCAAACGCTGCTCTTCCTCGGCTAGCTGGGCGCGTGCCTGCTTGATCTGGACGCAGAGGGGCTTGTGGTGCGGCCAGTGGGCGGTCTGGTGCTCACGGTTGCAGTACCGAACAGCGGAGCAGCCAACGCATCGGAGGAGCTTGGCAGCCCGCGCTTGACAATGGGAGCATCGGTTTTCAAGGGGACCAATGATGCCCTTGTAGGTTCTCGCAGTAGTCTCCATACTGATTTTGATGAGGTGCAATGCGCGTGTTTGGTTGAATGATGGGAAGAGGAAGGGCCGGCACTCGGAGCCATGATACTCCGCCACCCACAGCCACTTGTCACTTGTCCGTTGACGCCACAGTGAAGCAACCACCATGTGCTTCTTCTCACAGCGCCCAAAAAACTGATTATTCACGTCTCTTCAAACACTCAGCGAGGCGCAATGATCCCAAATGTCACTGTATACTACGGAAACATAATTAAAAGCTCGCCGGGAAGCCTGCTCACCGGTATATCCGTGAATATATTCTCAGTCCTCTTGGCCTCGCCAACACAACCATGAGACCTCTTTTGAATCAGCGCCGGAAATGCCTACACTCGAGGATGGAACTGAGCACTGGCTTCGAAGGGCTTCGCCTTCATTAGTTATTGGAGACTGCTTGAAACGATTGGTGCTTGCTGCTTCTCAACGGCACAGCCTGGATCCGTGGTAAACAGCTCTGAGGTGAATTAACGTCAAGGACTCGACTATCTCGCCGCCTTCTCTTTGATGCTTATCATTTATTGGCATTCAGCTATCCACGGGTCACAATCCGGGCTAGTTACCCGTGCCACACCCCCACTGTATGCACAGTAGGGTTAACCACGAGGCCACTGTAGCCACCAGGCCACGATCATGGCACATCATAGCTTCAATTGCTTTGCCGCAGTTGCAATTGAGAACCCGCGGGATTTTTTCAAGGAAAGATAGACAGTGATTGACCCTGTCTTATTTTTTTGGGCGTTTATATCTATGGTTGGGCGAATTATGAAGAAGTCAAGTTGGAAGGTTACGGAAACGGGGTCGCGGGGCTACGGTGAGATCCAGCAGTATGGCACGTGTATTCTCATGTGTCATTATCCCGACCGACCCTAAATAAGTACTAGGATTCCTGAACCCCCCCACATTGCAACGCAGTTCAAATCATCACCGTCTCCGTCTTTTCAAACAGTGAGCAGAACGTAACGAATATTCACACAATATGAGCGAGCGCTATTATAGACAGATCCACGAATCCGGGGATCTCCTGATCGTTCTGACACCCCCTACAGAGCCATTCGCCCTGTGGCAGGATAAAAAGGAAAGCGAAACCAAAACAGATCCCGGAGCAGCAAAACAAGCCGCAGAAGAAACTGACGAGAAGAGTTCCGCCAAAGACACCAAGACAATTCAGCCGGAATACACTTTTTTGGTTTCTTCTCATATCCTCCGCCACGCATCGCGCCTTTTCGAAAAAGATCTTGATCCGGATGGCCCTTGGAAGCAACCGGAGGTCCAAACTGACGGCTTGCGGCATAAACATCTAGAAGACTTTGATCCTCAGGCGTTAAGTCACGTCCTCAATCTGATACACTTCCGAACCACACAAGTGCCAGACAAGCTTGAGATGGAAACGCTAGCTGAAGTGGCCGTCATTGTGGACTACTTTCAATGCCACGAGGCCATGCGCTTTGCGGTTCAATCTTGGATCACGGAGCCGATTACCATCACGGTGATTCGTGACTTGAAGTTCGGACGGACCTTAATGTTGTGGCTTCTTATTGCTTCCGTGTTTAAGGTTCAAACCATCTTGAAAAGAGCTATCACGATCCTTGTGGAAGAAGGTACAGGGCCGTTTGATGCCCTGGACCTCCCGATCTCGCAGAATGTCATCTGTAAGCTCATTTTTCTTTTGTGTGACTTTCAAATGCTGTTTTCTTGAGTACTTACCTCTTCTCTAGCTGTGATCGACAAAGGCCGAGAAGCAATCATCAACACGCTTTTAAACAGCATTTACCAGTTTAAGAACGACTTGTCAGACGGTAAACTATCTTGTTCATTCATCTGTGACGTGGTGCATCTTGGCGCACTGCAGAAACAGTTGTGTTCTGCGGCTCTATATCCTCGCCCCGGCGGGTCGTTCCATGGACTTAGCGCATTCTCTATATGCTCTATGATTAAAAAGTACGAAGAGAGTGCAAAAAGATATCCGGTTGAGGCAGTTCAGTGTTCTGGTTGCAATATACGCTCGCGGCGGTCGAATTTAAATACGATTGGGTCTGTGGAAACTTTTTTGGCGTCACGTTACTATATACTACATGGTAAAATTGCGAATTAAATAGCTTTTTTGTTTTGATCTGATGAATATATTTGGGCTGCTCAGGATCCATGACATGCGTGACAACCAGCCGGCCATTGTTCGCATGCTATCCGTAGCAGAAGCCCTGCTCCTTGCTCCTACATCCTATTAATAACTAATTTATTAGTAGACAATTGAGATGATTTGTTGGTACAAGTGCGAAAGCAGTCGCGTCGAAATTTTCCGATACACAAGTAGAAAAGGATACCACCACTCTAGTAGGTCACTGTACAAAGCCAAGAGCAGGACTGATATCAATTATATTTGAGTTGTACCCATCCGTTTCTTTCCTCCCGCGTATCATTACGTTGCTAGTTCTGCAGGGTGCTGCTGTGGCGGCTCAAATTTGGGCTGACCCGAGTATACATGCTGCTGCGGCGCCGCGGCATTCACCGCCATGTATTTCTTCTGCTTCCGTATTTGCCACACGAGCGCGCCAATGGCGGCGAGCAGGGCTATCCCGAGAGACGCTCCGACACCGGCGCCGACGGCGACGATCTTTGAGTTGTCCGTCTTGGTGTTGTTGCCGCCCTCGCCCGGGGAGGTCGCGGTCGGCGTGACGGTGACGGTGACGGTGCCGCCTGCCGCGGACGAGGTCGGGCCGGCGCCGGCGCGCGACATGGCGGTGAACTTTTTGATGCCGCGCACAAAGGTGTCGGTCCTGTTGCAGCACGAGTAGTCGCCGCCGCAGCAAAACAGGTTGCTGGCGGTGCTGTCGAAGCCGCTGCACTGCGACAGGTAGTGGAAGCCGTCGCTGAAGCGCGCTGCGTTGATGTAAGCCATGGGGTCCGGTATAGTTCTGCGCATCATTCAAACTCTTTCACGTACCAATGTTGTCGGAGCAGTACGACTGGCAGGGAAAGTCCCATTTCTGCGCCGTGCACCCCTGCTGCGAGAAGCCGTTGTTGCCGCCGCCGCCGAGGCACAGCCCGTTGGACAGGCAAAAGTCGGTCGGTCGGCAGCAGGTGCTGATCTTTGCGGTCGGGTCGCAGGGCTTCATCTCGCCGTCCTCTGTGCCGTCGGGCTTGTAGCAGGCGGCCCGGGCCGTCGTGGCCAGGACTAGCGCCAGCAGCGTCGTCTGCCATGCGAAAGGCGGCATCTTTGGAAACCGGGGCCGGAGAATGATGCTGTAGACAAGATGGCGCGAGGCACCAGACGAAAATTCAAGTCTTGGGGCTTTTGCTGGTAGGAGAAGAAATAAAAGGAGCCCGCCGACGGAAACAAGTCCCTTTGTCTCTGGATAAAAACGCCCAGTCAACGAACAAGCCCAGAAGGCGGCGTGTGGGCTGCAGTCAGCCTCTAGACTGGTCAGTCCAGGGCTCTGAGCCAGTCAACTATCTGCTCGTCCGCCCACTTGCCGTTTCATTTCGCACCCCGTAACTAATATTAGGCGTTCTGGTCATGATCGTAATAGGAAATCGCCGAAGGAGAATGAGCTGGCCCGTGGTCGCACTGCATCACCTCTGGGAAACCCGGCATTTTAGTGAAGCAATGTGTGGGATCCGAGTCTTTGAGATGATCGCAGTGCTATCTAATAAGAATGATATTATAACGAGCCAATCCCCGCTTGCGCAGAAACCGTATCGGGAGAAGGCCCTGGCCGTTGCTCGACAAGGCTGAGGGCACTGTACGAATAGGGCTCAGCTGTGATTGCAGCGAGGCCACCTAGAGCCGGTGCATATCACGTTTATTACCTGCATGTCAAACTAGTACAGCCTTAAAGTAAGGAACCATATCACCTGCTTCATGTATCAAAGGTTGAATCGATCAGCATAGTACGCGAGGCAGCTGCTTTTCTTGGACGCCCTTCTCCTTTGGAATGGGCAATTTCTTCCCCGCGGATCTGTTATTACAGCCTGGGCACTGATGACCTTGGGACTATCTGCATGCTTCTGAGACACTTTGCCTTGGCAATGACTTGTAATACCCTGAATGCATTTGCATTGATAATACGAGGTCATTGTTTTACCAGCACACAGCCGCTACTAGGTAATACCAGCTGCTTCACAAGTTTAACAAGTGATGGATCTCCACGATTTTTTTTTCAGTACACTCGTCGCTGGCGTGATTTGAGATGCGCCATTAGCGGGATTTATCTGTTGGCATTGCGCCAATATTCAATGGCCGGGGTCCCGCGTGTCGCTGATGTTTTGTTGGTTGTGAGTTGATGAGATTTACAAGGACATGTTTGACCTTGTGAGGTGATGTAAAGATGCTTGTTTGCATGCTCTTTCCTATCTGATGTTCGCCAGTTCCATCACAACTACCTTTAATACGGTACTCTTAATTATAAAATTAGTCTATATTACCATACTTTGGCAGATAGGTCTCAAAGTGGCCCTAGCCCATCCGAACTAACGAGCTCGGCTGTAGATAAACCCTGGCCGCCTGTGACGGGCAACTTCCACCACCAGGACCATTTTCAGGATAAATATCACCATCTCGTCGCTTGCATTTTGGTATTGATGATGATTTCGTTAACTTTGATGCATCCCCCCCTCTTCAACTTGGTAGAAGAGGGCGAGTTATATAAGTTTTACAAATTATTACAAATTATGATCAATCATGTTACTGAGTCGCTGTCCTTGTTAGGCGTGCTGATCCTGGCCTTTTTAGTTGGCCTCATCATGGTTAGCCAAAAAAAACCCGCGTGATCCGGTTGACAGAAGCGTCCAACCTGATCTAAGTGTTTCGTCCAGCTCTCTTGCCTCTCAATATCTGCCTTGCACAAAATTCAACACGCAACATGAAGGCTACCAGTCATCCCTCTCAGGCGCGCGACTTGGAGGGCGATGCACGCCCCGGCGCTACCCAGGTCGACATCTCGCCATTTATTGGCAGATTGGGCGGTAGCGGCACCGGATGCTTGTCGCGCGACACGGCCAACGAGGAGTTGCTGAAAGCATTGCCGGATGCGGCTCCGTTGATGAGCCTGTCTGACCAATTCGCACTTCGGCCATTTCTCACGCTTGGTCTATGGAAGGCAGCTGTGATTGAAGGTGTCGGTGAGTCGGCTGGCTGCAGAAAAGAAAAAAAATAAGAAGAAAAAATAAAAGACTGCTAATGCCGGTGATGAACGAAACTACAGGGTCACTGATGTTGGTTTGGGTGACAGTGTTCGCCAACGGCTCGCCCCTGGTGTTGCCGTCTGCGCCAACCGAACGCTGGGGCGTCTTTAACAATGCCACTTTCGTCGGGCCTCTGGTTGGCGGCGTCTTGAATTTCTTCTACATCAGCCTGTTCATCTTTTGTTTCGGCGGCGTCACGGGCGCGCACCTGAACCCGGCCATCACCATCGCCACGCTGTTTGCGCGCCTCTGCTCGCTCCCGCGTGCCGTTCTGTACGTGGGGTTTCAGACCGGCGGTGCCGCCGTCGGCGGCCTGCTGGCCCGCGTCGCCCGCGGAAGCCGCGAGTTCAAGACGGGCGGATGCTGGCTGTTCAGCGACATTGTGCCGGTCCAAGACGCGTTCGCCATCGAGTTCATGGCATGCCTCATCATGCTCTTCTTTGCGTTCGGCACCGGCCTGGATCCGAGGCAGCGAGAGACGGTTGGACCTACGCTGGGGCCGTTCCTGGTTGGCTTGTCGGTGGCAGGCTTGACGTTTGGGACAGGATTTGCACGGTACGGCTATGGCGGCGCTGGCTTGAATCCGGCGCGCTGCTTTGGTGCATACGTTGGTAGCCATTTCCCTGGCTTCCATTGGATACATTGGTATACACCCCCCATGATGGCATCTGCGTACCAACGCTGGCTGACCTATACAGGGTGGCCGACATCACAGCTTGCGCGATTCACGCTGGCTTTTACCATCTGGCGCCGCCGTGGAAAGGTAGGGTGCAGTAGCCCGACAGTGTTTCTCGTCCTACCTATCCTAAAGTAAGTCTATTAAGTCTATGAAGTTGAGAGGTTCAAGATGACGATGGAGTAACAATCAGCTAACCTACAGGCGTGGAGGTAGCTGGCGAATACCTCCACATTGCTTCCTCTCCGCAGAGGGAAATGAAAAGAGGAAACGTCATACATAGAAAAAGGAAATCTAGAAAAAGTAATGATAGAAAGAACGCCCGCAAGGGCCGTTCCTTTAACACATGAACGGGCGAGGCTGGCTCCAACGCCGAATTAGAAGCCGAGCACCGAGCGCCGGATATGTAAGGCATCTCGCAACCCTAACTGCCTGGGTAAAAATTGTGCTCAAATATTACCCACCTCGATGAAGATTGGTATCCTGTAATTTAAATGCCTGAAGTTTGTCGTCATATGCGGCTCTCCTGGACATGAAAACTGCTCCCCGCCGCCGCAATGGACGGAGGCATGTAAGGGTTGCAGGCGGAAGGTAGCTTATAATCACAAACTGCCAATCTACTCGCACTATAAAGGTAGAAGTAATCCGAAAGAATGCATATACTTTGCTCTGAGCCGCGCCCGAGCTCACATTATATACATTGGAGACTCGATACAGGTTTTCCACCTGCAAGCCGAGGGAGGACTGACCGACGAGAACTTCTGTAAGTGAGGCTTGCCCCATGATGGCTTGCAGACAACGAGCTGAACATGTCACTTTGTAGTGAGCTCCGCACTGGGCAAGAAGAGATCAAAGCAAATTTTCCGTAATCCCTAGCGTTTAGGGCTGAAGACGCGAGCGACCGAAAAATCTCTAGCCCAACACTCTACACCAAGCTGGTCGGGTGGATTGTAATGGACTGGGCCGCACCGGCAGCGGGCAAGCCGCTCGACTTTTCAGCCAACTCGCCGGAGCTGGTGGTGGACTGCAGAGCAGAGACGGAAATTCCAATAAATGGTTTCCGTTAGTTATGACTGGCTGGTGACCTTGGACTAGAGGTTGGCTAGAGGTGGTGCCGAGTGACAGATGAATAATACCACGAGCCGCCATGACAGTTACCATCACCTTGGCATGGTATAATGCATCGCTCTAAGTCCACGCAATTTTCTAATATTCTTTCGCGCTCCAATTTATACACATTTTGCACCTATCACTGCTACTAGCATCACTCTGATGCTCGTTGCTGGCATTGGACACGCAAGAGCAACCCAGCTTAATAAAGAGATGGGGGACACTCCCTAGATTCTAAGCCGGGGAATTATAAAAGCGCCGTGGCGCTCCCCCAAGGCGGCTTGCAGGTCCGACTTGTTTGTGAAGGAGGCCTCTAGCTGGGCTGTAAGCCGCATGTTGGCCTATCACTGATGAGGAAGCGGTTCCCTGTCAATCAATGGTGCTGCGATCCGCGGGCGCCGCACCCCAGGAGAAGCCCAGTCTACGGCAGCTTGGTTGTCTTCGCTCTATTGAACGGAAGATGCACCGACGTCATATGCTTTTTGTGTGTGGCCGCCACCAGGGACGCAGTCCAGTTTCCCGTCAAGCAACAGCTGGAGGCTATGAACCAGCTTCAAACCGATACGGTCTGTTCACGTTATCGGACCAGTAACCTGCCCGGCTTTCTATCTTCAGTCCATGTAGGTTATTATATAGTCGCTGCTGTACGGATCAGCTAGGCATGCAAAGCAAGACATGCTCTGCAGGAGGACAACCCATTCCAACGTCTTTGTTTACACTCCTTCCGGCAAGGAAGCACACGCCCACTCCCACATCCGGCCCTCACTCGGGCTTCTTCAGCCAGCCAGCCAACGACAGCGCGCATGTTTCTCATTAAGACGAACCTGGAAAAATGGATCCCTCCCGTTTATCATCGGTCGGAAGAGGGCCCGAGCCAGCATGGACGAGAAAAAAAACAGGCTAGGGACTGCGCTCCGGGGCGGCCGCTGACGTCGCCATGTGGCTTACAAGTTGCCACCACAGCACCCCTGGTCAATCCAGAGCACCGTAATTAGTAGACCCGACGAGATATATAATTTGGTTGCCTGCTTAATCAAGCAGAGCAGGCTACATGGTCCCCCGCGAGAGAGCTGCGCTCAAAAGCTTGTCCAGCCCCGACATCAGCCCTGTCTCTGGCTGGTATATCGCTCATACCCAGCCTGTGCCATCAGTTCGTTCCCAATACTTGGCCTCTGTTATCCTGGGACAAAAGCCCCCCTCCACTTGCCGATCGAAATACTCCGCCCTTTTTATCCTCTCGTGGCTTTTTTTTTGCCTTTTTGGCCTCGGCGTCACTGATCCGTCGGCCAACGAACCCGTCTCGCGCTGATGGGGGGGTGAGGCAATTTTTCCTCGAGTCCTTCCTTCTAGAGTTATGCTGTCGCACTGCCGTCTTTGGGTCGTCTGTACACGCTGGTGTGAAGCTAGCCGCGATGCCCAAACTGGAAACGTCGCCGCCAGCCTGGCGTCTGTTGTCCGTCGCGTTGCTGAGCACCCCATACCGTGAACGAAACACCACAGCCACACACACCCACCAGACAATGACCGCGTCGTCTAGGTTTACTGTTTCTTTCAGCTCATCTGACGGACAAATGGCTACTCTGCCGTGACAAAATATTTTGTTGTATCCTCGGCTTGTCCCGTGTTAGTTAGCTCTCTCCTGCCTCCATCGAAGGGCTCCTCTCGGCGACGCCCTGATGACCCTTGTTTTCTATTCCACCCGTAGAATATAAAGACTGCATGTCTCTCACACCATTCCAGAGCACTATATACACCCTTTCGTATTACTTCTGCGCCGTTCTGACCGTTTCAACCTCCTGAGCTCTGTTGTTCTCCTGCCACCGCGTCCGTCGGTTCGATTACCTCTTTGTACTCCTCACTCTGACTTGGCATCTGATGGCTTCCGAGAAGCCTGCAGACGTCTCTGCCACGGAGCGTATCCGCTGGCATGATGAGGAGCTGGGCCGTCAGCGGACGCACTCGCGCCCTCGTCTCAGTCGCACCAATTCGACTGATTCGATGGCTATTCGCAGCATTTCGCGAGCGCAGGTCGATCCGGCCGTGACTCTTCCAATCCACTACCGCACTGTGTAAGCAAAAGAGAGCTGATATCACTTCTGAAGCCCCTAACGCCCACGATTAGCTCGTTTGGAATTGAAGAGTCCAAAGGCAAGGAACGTGCCGAAGCTATCCGGGCCGCTGATGCAACCGCCAAAGGTAAATACAGGCATCACCAGCGTACACACCTATTTCCTGCCATGACTAACAACCTGCAGATCTTGGTGACTTGGAATGGCACACAATCGCTGCCGACGAGGTTTTGTCGCGCCTCAGAACCTCGGCCCAGACTGGTCTCTCGGACGAGCAAGTCAAACGCCGCCAGCTTGAATACGGTCGCAACGCTCCCTCCCCACCCAAGACGAACCGAACCTTGACAATCTTTGGCTACTTCTTCAAAGGATTTGGTGGCATCCTTTTAGTTGGCAGCGTCCTCGTATTCGTGTCTTGGAAACCCCTGGGCGAGCCAAATCCCGCACTTGCCAACCTTGCCCTTGCCATTGTTCTCTTGGCCGTCTTCTTGCTCCAGGCTAGCTTCAACATGTTCCAAGACTGGTCCACGTCCCGTGTCATGGCGTCAATTAAGGATATGCTACCTGAGCAGTCACAAGTGCTGCGCGATGGAAAGCTCGCTCATGTTCCCGCCGAAGAGCTAGTCCCCGGCGATGTTGTCTACATCAAATCAGGCAACAAGCTCCCGGCAGATCTCCGTCTCATCCAAACATCCTCAGATGTCAAGTTTGATCGCTCCGTTTTAACGGGCGAGTCGCGTCCTGTGCCGGGCACCGTTAATTTTACGGATGAGAACTACCTCGAGACGCACAACCTTGGGCTTCAAGGAACTCACTGTATCATTGGTACTAGTACTGGTATTGTGGTTGCCACTGGCGATAAGACCGTCTTTGGCCGCATCGCCACCCTAACCAATGAACCCAAGACACAGATGACGACTCTGGAGAGGGAAGTATTGTACTTTGTCCTCTTCATCTGCGGTATCATGCTTACCATGATCACTGTTGTCCTTGTCCTCTGGGGTGCCTGGCTGCGAAAGGACCATCCTGATTTCATCTCCGTCAGTGCCCTCATTGTCAGCTGCGTCAGTGTCGCTGTTGCATTTATCCCCGAGGGTCTTCCCATTGCTATTACAGCCGGTCTCACCATCACTGCCAATCTAATGAAGAAGAACGATGTACTCTGCAAGTCCCTCAAGACTGTCGAGACGTTGGGTGCCGTATCTGTCATTTGCTCAGACAAGACCGGCACCTTGACGCAGGGTAAAATGTCTCTTACTGACTGCGCCATTGGTAGCACCAATCTCAGCGTGGAAGAATTCCAGGCGAAACTGGGAAACAATGAAAAAGGGGGCGACTCAGACGTACGCTCTGCGTTTGGTCAGCTGGGGGCCCTGGCTGCTATTTGCAATGCTGCTGAGCTCGATGCCTCGCAGGCAGATATTCCCCTGGCCCAGCGCAACGTCTTTGGCGACGCGACAGACACGGCTATCCTGCGATTCTCTGAGTCTATCGCTGATGGCAACGTTGGATACTTCCGAGGTTGCTGGCAAAAGGTCTTTGATCTTGCTTTCAACAGCAAAAACAAATTCATGATTCGCACGTTTACCTGCAGCCGCAAGGAGGCCCTGGGATACACACTGCATTCATCTGCTGCTTCCGAGTTTGGCGACAACGACATTCTTCTTACTATCAAAGGCGCGCCTGACATCCTCATCGGCCGATGCTCTGAATATCTCTCCGCTGATGGCAAAGTCGCCCCGATGGATCAAAACGCTCTGGCCACGTTCGAGCACCTCAAGCAGGTATACTCGTCACAGGGTAAACGTTGCTTGCTTCTTGCGCGGAAAGTTGTACCCGGCAGTAGCATCAAAAATGCAGTCGAGGATGGCGCCTACGAGGCGGAGATGTCTGAGCTTGCCAAGTCTGGCCTGACACTCGTCGGCCTCGTTGCTATTGTCGATCCTCTCCGGCCGGAGATTCGCGATGTAGTGTTGACACTTCGTGGTGCTGGTATCAGAATTGCCATGGTAAGCTCTCCTACATGAGCACTGATCACCCTCAGTACACTAACTATGTTGATTTCAGGTTACCGGCGACTTTAGCCTTACGGCTCTTGCTATCGCCCGCGATGCTGGCATCGTCACCTGTGTGCATGTTGACAACGCCGGCCACCTGGAGCGTAACCCTGATCCGGCCTCGGACTCTACTGACTCTGAAGAAAAGAGCAGCACCGGTGGTTCGCGCGGTGCGCTCGTTATTAGTGGCGGCGAGCTGACGCTACTCAACGAACACCAGTGGAAGACACTCACCGAGTACGATGAGATTGTGTTTGCGCGCACGACCCCAGAGCAGAAGTTGCGCATCGTGCGCGAGTTCCAGAAAGACAATGTAGTAGCTATGACTGGCGACGGTGTGAATGACGCGCCTTCACTCAAGGCAGCTGATGTTGGCATCGCTCTCGGCAGTGGCTCGGACATTGCGATGGAGGCGGCCGACATGGTCCTGTTGGATTCGTTCTCGTCCATTGTGATTGCGGTGCAGTATGGCCGTGTTGTGTTTGATAACTTGAAGAAGGTTTGCAGTTTGATGCCACGTTTTACAATGTCGGTTGACTAACAAACTCAGGTCATTGCGTATCTTCTCCCCGCAGGCTCGTTCTCCGAGTTCTGGCCTGTCATCACGAATGTCGCGTTTGGCCTTCCCCAGATTCTGTCATCGTTTCTCATGATTATCATTTGGTTAGTTTTACATTCTCCGTTTATGGCGACATTGTACTCATGGCGAATAGCTGCTTCACGGATTGCGTGGCCGCCACCGTTCTGTCTTACGAAAAGCCCGAGGCCGACGTGCTGCACCGCCGGCCGCGCAACGTGAAGAAGGACCGCCTGGTGAACTGGCAGCTCATTTTCCAAGCGTACGGCGTCATTGGCATGACGGAGACTCTGGCGTCGTTTGCCATGTCGTACTGGTACCTCGAGCGCAAAGGTATCGCGTTCAAAGACCTCTGGTTCTCGTTTGGCAAGATCCCGCCGTACGTGACGGAGGAGTACTACAACGCCAGACTGACGGAAGCATCATCCATCTACTTTGTCAACCTGGTGGTGATGCAGTGGTTCAACCTGATGGCGGTACGGTGCCGCCGGCTCAGCATTTTCCAGCACCCGCCAGCGTTCAACAAGGCGACGCAGAACTTGTACCTTTTTCCCGCGATCCTGTTTGCGCTGAGCATGGCGTTCCTTTGGTGCTACCCACCAGCGATCCAGCGCGTCATTGTCACGGCGCCGGTGCCGGTGGAGTATTGGTTCCTGCCGTTTGCGTTTGGCATTTATATTGTCTTCATTGACGAAGTGAGACGATTCTTTGTGCGCAAGTACCCGAGCAGCCTTATTGCGAAGGCTGCCTGGTAGTAGAGGAGCCGCGCTACGTCTTTTTTTCTTTCTTTCTTTTTTCTTTCTTTTTTCTTTCTTGCTTTTCTTTTTTAAGACTTTGATCCCTGGTTTATTGTCTTTTGTTAGTTTCGAATTCGCAAGCTAGAAACAAGGCACATGATTATGCCTCACGGCCTTGGGCATGTGGTGAGGCAGACTACTGCATCGGGTAGGGCAGTCGAGATGGCTGTGAAATAAGCGGCGGGCACAAGTTTGGGGTACTGGGGCTAGGGCGCGACGAGGATGATACGCGAGGGTTTTCATTCACTTTTGAGACTGAGCGTATCCGTGGTGGACTGTTTGTTTGCCTCCAGAATCAGGCTGTAGATGTATCGGGAATGGATGATCAGCTGTGAATATACCTTGGGAGAATATAGATGTGACGACAGAAACTGCAGAAAATGCAGTAAAATGTGCCCTGAAAATGGACGGTCAATTGGTCATGAGAGGATGGCTTGGAGTCAGGATGCCGCAAAAAACACTTTGTGAGGCAAGGGGCGAGGCGAGATTGGCAAGGCGATTGGTGATTGGCTGCGGAAGCTAGCATGGTCGGCGGTACTGGATACAGTTCATGCGGTACTTGATGTAGCATGGAGAAAGCACGGAATGCCATGTACCCCTCTGCTCATCATGTGTAGCGGCTACCTGACCCCCTCGCCGTCCCCCCTTTTAGCGCATGCCAAACCGACACTAGTCCACTTCTAGCCATGATCAAGGGATCCACCAAAATAATTCTGTGGTGAGCCAGCGTCAGTCACGTCTTGCCCTCTTGCCCTCCGCCTGCCACAGTCCCTCCGTCCCAGTCGTCCAGGACAGGACCCAGGCGGAGGCAACAAGAACCTTTTGCCCATTTTATTGTGCGCCGCCTCTGGCCCAAACCGCCAGCATGAGACCAGACCACGGCACCAAAAAAATGCTACCAAGCAGACAAGCCCCAGAATGAAAAACCCTCGTCGCCCCAAACCATCCCCCTCCCATCATCTTCACTATCTTCCCCCTTTGCCGAGCAGCCGCCGCCTGTCGTCGTTTGCACCGCATCACCACCATCGCCAACCGCCCGCCGGCTAAATCCTCTGCTCCACGTAATACGCCCCTGGCTCAGACCAGCACCACACCACGCTGCCTGCCCAAAAAACCAAAAGACCTCACTACCAACGGGCTCCCAGAGCAAACAAGGTGTGCGAAAAATTGATCCACCACCACTTTGCAGCTTGGCTTTATCAACATCTGCCAACCTGCCTCGTCGTTGACGGACACGATTGCTCCCCTCGCGCCCTTGTACTGCGTCTTGCGCTCCGCGTATTTTCTCCTGCTCACCTCTCAACACGCGTGACTTTCCACCAATTTCTTCTCCATGGCTCCACCGACCAAGACATCTGACAGCCGACGCAAGTCTGGGGGCAAGCCAACCTTGATCATCACCCTGTCTGTCCCGTCCTCCATCCTACGCGAAGCCATCGGCCACGACGCGACCAAGCCCGAGTCGCCCGCCACCGCCAGCGACCAAAAGGACTCGAGCGACGCCAAGGAGTCGCCGTCCACGCCGGTCCCTGCTGCCAATGGCAGTGCCGAAACCGCATCCGACTCGAATGCTGCTACACCCGCCGCCGAAGGCACACCCGCACCGTCTGCCATGGGACCTCCCATCGACGGCAGGAAGAAGGGCGTCAAGCGAGGCGCCACGGCGACCGGGGATGGACTGGCCAAGATCCGCGGCAAGCCAGGTCCCAAGAAGAAGCCACGTCTGTAAGTACACAGCCATTCTCCCGCGGCATCTGCTTCGCCAATCGCTAACCTTGACCAGAGAGGACGGTTCCATTGACCACGCAGCCGTGCGCGCCAACGCTGCCGCCCACAAACTCGGTCCCAAGGCGAACCAGGGCGCCATCAACGCCGGCCTACGCGCCCTCGACCGATCGGGCAAGCCATGCCGCAAATGGGCCAAGGGCAACTTCAATCTCAAGAGCTTCACAGGCGTTATCTGGGAGATTAATCGCTGGACCGCACCCCCCAAGCCCAACGGTGCCGAGGCCGACTCTGAGGCCACACCGGCTGACTCTGCCGACAGCAGCAACAAGGAGAACAAAGAAAATGGTCAGGAGAACAACAGCACCGCGCCCAGCAATGGTGGTGGTGACGTGGAAATGCAAAGCCTTCCCAGCGTCCACGCCTCATCACCCGCGCCTGCTCCTATCGCCGCCGCTTCGTAGCCGCGCGACCACGTATCTGTTACTGGTCACGCATTACTTTTCTGGGGCGGAGTTTTTTTTTTTTTTTCAGTTTTCGCAAACGCAAGTCTATTACATCGTATCGCATTGGCTTCTCTTGCGGTATAATCTTAGGACTTGGTTTTGGTATGGGTGGCGTCTACTGATTTGCATGGATAGTTGGGATGGAAGTGAAGGCGGCGACTTTGCTGCGTGGCGTTTTGGTCTTTTTTCCCCCACCCCTGTACGGATACTAAGTGTAAATATAGGATAGCAGGTCATGATTTCTCACATTAGATAGCGTTGGATGGGTCAATCTATTCGTATACCCCGAGAGAACCTTGTTGTTATGGCAGACTCGTTGCATCGAGATGCATAATGGGATGTCGCTTGCTTGGCAAGGCGCCATGCTTACCTAACATGACGACTCGTACCAGTGGTGTGGCTGGTGTTTGTGAATCTATCGAGGTTACACCACCATAAAATAAACAATTTGGAGCACGGCGTAGGTATTTACAAGTGAATGAAGTACGCGGCCTGAGATGTCGAGATGATTTGCATTCGGCACCGGGCTGGATCCGAGGCAGGGGGCAGCGAGAGACAGACAGTTGGACCAGCTCACACTAATAAGCTTGCCCACAGTCATAGTTAGCGGCAAACATGGCCAAATCATCAGGTAGAGAAGTTGCTTGTTATTGTATTCAGTCTAGTTTATCTGTCTACCAAAACAAACGACCTTCAACAGAGTGATTAGGAGGCCAGCGACAGCGAAGTCATTGGCAGCCACTCTTTCCATTCTCTTTATTCTGCTGGGTTCTCGGGCCTTATTCGACGCACTAACTACCTACTGAGATTACCTGGCACCAAGCTCATGCACGAAAGAAGGCTCACTTTCTATAAGCGTCAACATATTGCTGTAATTCCTATTGTATTCTAAAGATTAGACTGTCATATAGAACACTTGAGTCGTTATTCGGAGATTACACTATTTAAGTCCGCAACAGACAGGGTGCAACTTGGTCAATCGGCTGCTACGCCCACAATAGACGGGCGCAAAAGATGGGATGGGGGCTTGTATCCGTAAATAGTGAGTGCCCAGCCGAATTGCGTGGCCCAGACCGGTGAGGCAGTATGCGACGATATAAAAGTACAAAGAAAGTGATGCAGCTGAATAACCATTTTCGTGTGCTTTTCATCTTGTTGTTCTTCTCACCTTCTTGCCCCTTTGACTTGCTCAATAAGATCTCGTCAAAAACACGCGCAGAACACTCGTCGACGTATTATACGAGTTGGCTCTTTATACGTCCCAAACATACTGTCATCTCAAAACGTACATATACAATGGGCTCCTTTGCAGGTTTCCTGTTCAGACAGCTCACTAGCAAGCCCAAGCCCCTGGCAGCCTCGGTGCGCCTTGAAGGTCAGACAGCACTCATCACTGGCGCCAACGCCGGTCTGGGCCTCGATGCGTCCAAGGAGCTCGCCGCACATGGCCTGAAACGCCTCATCATCACGGCGCGCGATGCCACCAAGGGCCAGGCGGCCAAAGAGGCCATCCTCGAGGCCACGCCTGGTGTCGAGGTCGAGGTCTGGTCTCTGGACTACGACTCGTTCCAGAGCATTACCGACTTTGGCAAGCGCATCGCTGCTGTGGATCGCCTCGATATCGCCATTCTGAATGCGGGCGTCAAGTTTGTCGATCGTGTCATGTCCAAGACGGGCCATGAGGCCCACATCCAGGTAAGTCATTGTTCGTCTTTTTACAACATGCATTTCCAGCGACACTTGCTGAGATTTTGATTTTTTTTTGCATGTGCAGGTCAACCACCTAGGTACCGCCCTCGTTTCCACCTACGTGCTCCAGCCGCTGGACCGCACCTCCAAGAGCGTCGGCAAGCCCGCTCGCCTCACCATTGTGTCCTCTGAGAACCACTTCTGGGCCAAGTTCCGCGAGCAGAGCGCGCCAAACATCCTGGAGGCGCTTGACGCCAACGAGGACTGCTTCCAGGGCAAGGACAAGAGCAACATTGAGCGCTACAGCACCAGCAAGCTCCTCAACGTGTTCTGGATGCGCGAGCTCAACGCGCGTGCTGCCAAGCTGAAGCTCGACATCATTATCAACACTGTGAACCCCGGTTTCTGTGACAGTAGCCTGCATCGCTCCGATGAATCGGCGCGCAGCTTTGTCAAGCTCATTGCATGGACCTCGGCGCAAGGCGCGTCTGTTATTACGGATGCCGCCACCAGACATGCCACCGACCGCGGCGCGTACCTCAGCGAACAGCAGGTCAAAAAGTAAGTCCACGTGGCTTCACAGACGCGCTCCTCGTGCTAACACTTCCATAGGGCATCCCCCTTTGTTCTGTCTCAGAAGGGTGCCGACCTTCAGCGCAAGCTCTGGAAGGAGACTGTCGCTGTGCTCCGAAGTCAGGCAGCCCCCGCCGAGATGCTCGAGACGCTCGACAAGCAGTAGATTGCAGTCGGGATTCCTTTTTCCGCGCTGTTATTTCGCAAAAGCCGCTTGAACTTTGGGTTTTCTAGTAATAATACGCGTGGCTGCTATTTGGTGTATCTTACTTAGTTTGAGAATTTGATTTGGAAGGTCGGTTACATACTCGTATATCGGTCATACCGCACCTAAAAAGCCTTGCAGCACTTCCGCTGCGCTCGAGAAGCTTCCCTGCCAGCAGCCCGTAATGATGTGCCCGCAGAGGATCCCCGTGACATCAGGAAACGATCTACTACTGTAGAGATGTACAATGACATCGTCCGATTTTCCTTGGTATGGTGGTGTGCTGGTGATGACCTCGTAGAGTGTTGACCCGAGTGCAAATAAATCAGACTGGATACTGCTTGGCATATCGCCATCAATATCTCGAGGCAAATGGTGTGATGAGTTCTCGAAGCCAAGGACATCGCCGCCGCCGAAGCCAGAGAATCCGAAGTCGCTGAGGCGAACATGGAGAGCTTCGTCAACGAGAAACTGACGGGCGGCAAGATCGGAATGAACAATGCCCTTGCTGTGGATGAAAACAACAGCTTCAATAATCTCCTGTGCAAACTGAATGCGACAGCTGTCAGATATATCGTGGTGGATCTTTAAATAGTCCTCGAGGTGTCCATATGGGGCAAACTCGAGGTCCACAAAGAGATCTCCCTTAGCGAGGCATTTGACAACTCTTGGGTGATTGCCAAGATGCTCGTAGATATCGCCTTCTTTTCGAATCGATTCTAGAGCAAGGGCAAGGTTATCGGGATCAGGAGCAGGAACCTTGCGCACTCTTCCTTGGCCAAGATTGTAAACATGAGTGAAAACGCCAACCCCGATGAGATCGCTCGAGGTTCCAGCTCCGAGAGTGCTGTCGAAAGTTAGCAATTGGAAATGGAGCGGGGTAATACATACTATAATGAGGTTTGGAGTTCGTCTTTTCTTGGCTTGATCTGATCCTGAGAAGCATTTTCTTGGCTGGCGTCTCCAATAGAAAGAAAGGAGTTTTGGTCACTCTCAATATCCTGCTCAGTCGAGATCTCGTCCCTGTGATTGCCACTAACCCAAAGTATCAAGCTGGCAAACCCAGCGCAAAAGACCACAGGCCTCCACAATGCTGTGATCCATCGCGCCCAACTCGACATTCCGACGGTTGAAAAGGGGTGGAATTATTGAGAGGGTATGGGGACTCGTCGAATTCAGTTTCGGCAGGCCCTGGCAGGCCCAAGAATGGAGGTGGTTCGCAAGTAAACAGATGAACGCTCCGTATTAAATAAGACGTCGGAATTACTTCGGAGCAAATGCTGTATCCTGGGCTACCGATCTACAAACCTGTCACGAAATTAGTAATATTTACTAGCAAGTTGTATCTATCTGATGGAGATTATAATATATTGTTTTATAATTTGAGGATTTCGATAAGTCCGAGCTCATACTATCCATTCAAGTAGGTAGCTTGCTACCATGTACCTTAGTTGCTTAGGTCAGTTAGTAGGTACCTACATACCTCATGGTAATATGCTGCACAACCCAAGTACCACCCTAGGTAGCTCCTACCCAACCAGGAATCGGCCCCAGAAAATGGATGCCATACCAGCAGATACCAGATACCAGGTGCTCCTCCTCAACCACAGACCGCAGCCGCCAAACATCTCCAACCTTGATTGTCCCGCCTCCTCTCCGCCGCCGTTCATTTCGACTGCTACACCCCATCGCGACTTTGGTCTCGTCGTCTACTTATCCTGTATGCCTATCACACTCCAGGCTTCTCTTTCGCTCACCACACATCCGCTACGAGCCGCTGCTGCGTCATCTGCCGCCCACTCCTCCGCCGATTCAACCGTGACCCGTTCGGCCCGTGGCATAGCACCGCTCCCCTCCTCTAGCCACCCGTGTGTGTTGTTACTGCCACTACATCTATAGACGACGCATGACCGCGCTGGCACGGTTCTCCCTCATCGTTCCCCCCCAGTCTTGCTTCCAACCTCCATGCCTGGCTCTGGTCAGCACCGCTCACCTGGTCTAGATCCAGGCTCGACTCCATCGACAGTTCTATCCTCGCAAAGCGCAGCGGCTGCAACTGAGCAAGGGAATCAGGGCTACAACTTTTACACGCACCCGTCCCGCATCTCGATCCTCGACGACAACGGCGACCTGACTATCGATCCAACCGCCTTTCTCCTCTGCTCGTCCGGGCAGCCGACTCCGACTATGGATAGCCCGGGTGCAGCCAACACCTCCGCATGGCGCGGCACCACTGACTTCGCGTCTTCTTCAAGAGCATTTGAATTCTTCACCAATGACCATCCCGACGACATGTCCGATGACGGCGAGTATCGCTTCTTTACCCCCTCATATCTCAAGTCCTCGACATATATGCACAAGCTTCAAGAGGCACACAGATCACGCATACACTCGAGGCAGGAGCAAAAGCGAAATGGCGCCGTCTCATCTAGCAATGGTTTCTCCTCCGATCTGTTGCCCAGAGGCTCCCACCGCGGCCTCTCGCACACGGTTATTGAACGTGGTATCGTATCCGACGACCGCGACGGACTTGCTTCGCTGCCTATGCGATTGAACAAGAGCGACATGAGTGGTGGCCTCGAAATTCTATCCGACGGGCTCGGAGTCAAGTACCTTGAGATCAAGGGCCAGCTTGACCGCGAAAACGATGCATACGGTGTCCGCGCCGACCATCACATCCCCATGCAGTGTGGCCTATATTATTTCGAGGTCCAGATCGTGCATACACTACCCAACGAGTAAGTAACTCGTCGACATTTCTTTCCGTGACGCAGAGCATGAACACTAACACAATCCAGGACCTTCATTTGCATTGGCTTTTCCACCAAGGCAGCGTCCACGGCCAGACCCGTAGGCTGGGAGCCCGAATCCTGGGGCTATCATGCCGACGACGGCCGATGCTTTGCCGGGCAAAATGTCGGGCGCCCGTTTGCGTCTGGATACTCTGCCGGTGACGTAGTTGGCTGTGGTATTAATTTCCGTAACAGAACGGCCTTTTATACCAAGAACGGCGTCAACTTGGGTAAGTCTCGTCGCCAGCGCTCTGGGCCGGTGTGCTGGACACAACTGACAAAAACAGGTACTGCTTTTCACGATATCAACAAGGGTAGACTTTATCCCTCTGTCAGCCTGAAGAGGGCCGGCGAGCAAGTCCTGTTCAACTTTGGCCAGACACCCTTCGTATACCGCATAGATGACACGATGAAAGTATGTTGCACTCACAGGGCTACACCAAACACCGCTGACCAGACAGGAACTCCGAGAAGATGTTCAAGTAGATATTCAGTCGACCGATACGTCGAAACTCGAGCCCGGCCTCGGCGAGACGGAATTCATCCAAGCGCTGGTTATGCAATTCCTCCAACATGACGGCTATATTGAATCGGCACGCGCGTTTGCCAAAGATTTAAAGACTCAAAAGGAAGCGTTGAGCTCGGACACTGAACCGACATCCAGCGGCATAAACATTCACGACGACGAAGATGCCAACAACCGACAACGTACGTACTAGGCCATGCCCTGTGGAATCACGCTAACAAAAGCAGGGATCCGGCGAGCAATCCTAGAAGGCGATGTCGATCGAGCGCTAAAATTCACAAATGCATACTACCCGCACGTTTTGCGAGAGCACGAACCCGTATACTTTAAACTGCGCTGTCGAAAGTTCATTGAAATGGTTCGCAAGGCAGCCCAACTCAACATGGCAGCAGAGGCTGGGGAAAATGGCAATACTAACGATATGGACATTGACGCCAACGGAGATGGCTACGAATGGGATGATGCACCAGAAGCACCAAACGAGAGCGTGGTGCTGGACCTGGAGAGAGACATGTTGGAGTACGGCCAGGCTTTGCAAGCTGAATATGCCGAAGATTCCCGCAAGGAAGTGGGCACAGCGCTGGACGAAATTTGGTCTTTGATTGCCTACCGCAACCCCCTAAAGGAACCCCAAGTTAGTCATTTGCTGGCGCGCAAGGGCCGAGTCGCGGTGGCAGAAGAGCTAAACGCTGCTATTCTTTGTGAGTATGCCCGCCGCCGATGATGCATCTTTTACTGACAAGGCACAGCTTCCCTGGGCAAGTCGTCACGGGCGGCACTGGAAATGCTGTACGCGCAGACAAGTGTGCTGTTGGAAGAATTGCGACAAGACGGTGGCGCCGGCGCTTTTACCTCTGTCGAGGAGATTATTGATGAGATTCAGGTCGACTATGATGCTTAGATGGCAGATTGGCAGGACGCTTCGAACATGTCCACGATAATCAAGCCTCGGACGCATGTTGTGTGCAGTTAAATTGATATGGAGTTTGGTGTCTTGGGTGTTTTGACAATGATTTGCGTGTTGGCGCCTCCAAACGTCGTCATGTAGCCTTTCTCGAGGCTGCCCTTTGCGCAATATCGTTTGGGCTATTCTTATGAAGTTATCGGCCGGTCGGTGCTGTACTTTACTACTCTGCTAGATCAATTATTACGACTTGAGATTATTCCCCTGGGGCAATGTGCCACGCTAATCGACGCTGTTTTGTTATGGGTGATGATGTTAGGTGGCTCTATTGTATAAACAAACACATTACATGGCTGCTCCAAGGAACAAGAACGGCTGCTGGTTGCTTTGATGGTTGCTTTGATGGTTAATATTATTAGGTCTATAATGTACAAACATGATACACGGGTGCTCCAAAAAGCAAGACTTAGTTAGGTAAACCTAAGCTCGTTGCCTTGATTCAATTTGACCAACAACGCTGATATAGCCTTTGCGCATGCAATCTTAGATTTCCAAATTTTGTCAATCTATCTGCGAGCTCTCGATCTTCCCACACCAGCTGCCCCCCCACAAGCAAATGCGAGTAGGCAAAGAGTTCGGCATCCAGAACCCCCGGCGCCTCGGCGCCGAGGAACCATTCCGCGTCACCGAGCAGCGCTGCCAGCGCCGCAAACGCTTCCTCTGCTGCGTCAAAGAGCTGGGTGGCATCGATCCCCCCTGTCGTGCGGCGCGTTGCCTTGAGGATCTCTGTTGTGGCAGCTGCGCGGAGGGTATGGCGCTGCGCTGGGCGGAGGAGGGCGGAGGAGGGAAGATAGAGCGCCTCGAGGAGGGTATCGTTTGCGGGGTTGACGTATAACGAATGAAGCTGCATCACAGTCAGAATACTTTTTCAAAGATGGAGGAGACAGCGGCAAAAAGCGTACCCATGCTGGCCGGACGCTGTGGACAATGAGCGCCTGGTAGGCGTCAATTCGAGGGGACGGATCGTCTAGGTTGGCACTGGGTGCGTGTTGTTTGGCGAAGCGCGCAATCTTTTCGCCCGTCAGAGGAACTGTTGCGGGTGTTGTGCTCGTCGGTAGTATAAGGAACGGGAGGGCGCCGGAGGGCGAGGCGTGGTTCGAGGACGGTACGAGGCGGACATTGATCTGTGCTATTCGCAGGATCGTCTTATGGTTGCTCTGTTAGCGTTTTTATCCAACCCCCTGATGCGCGGTGCCAGAAAAGAACGTACCTGCCACTTGAGACAGGAGGGATTGTAGCTCGGTAGGCCCAGCTCGGCATCGCGCTCGTGCGCAAAGACGTACAGCCGTGGTAGAAGGCTGGCATCGGTGGCGGCGCGCGCGGGAAGCGCCTCGGCGGGGTGCACGGCCAGCGGGAACGACTTGAAGAGGGAGCGGATGGGCGCGGGAGCTGAGAAGAGCCCGGGCGACGAGGGAGCAGCCATTTTTGTTTTCTAGGTCTGCGGTGGTGGGAATGGGCGATGGAAGGCTGGGAGAAGAAGGGTCGTGGCAGAATTTAATTGTTCGTTGTGACGTTGACTGGATGGCCAGAGGCGGTGAGAAGTGGGCCACAGGTTGGTGTTGAGTTGCAGCGTGTAAGTCGCCGATGAAACTGTACTAGACTACAAAATAAAGTCGCTCACTTTATATCCTAATGGATTACTGCTTTTTTAAAAAAGAATAAGTAAGAATTAAGCAAATATCTCAGTATGTTGCTGTTCCGGGCTGGGTAAAAATTATTTTATGTGTGCCTTCCACATAGCGAGCCAGCCTGGAGCATGCTTCATTAGTGACAACTCCAGGTAAGGTCCTAGGCAGGCACACACTGGATATGCATCTGACCAATTAGGCCGCGGTAATTTTCTTATTTTTTGAAAAAAAAAACCCCCCCCATGACTCCCCTCAAGCATGTCTCAATGCCAGTTTAAAGACCACAGCTCATTGTATGCCCGTCTCCCTGCTCACCCTCTTCGACCTGTGCTTACACTCATCGCAGTGGGAGCCACCATGCTACCACCCTCGGACGATGGAGAGACCGAGCTTCCGCTGCACGGGTACGTTTCGTCGTTCAAATTGTCGTACCTCTTCTTCCACATCCATATTCTCCGCTAGGCGGCCGTGGATCTGGGTAAAGCAGACTCTATGGTGGTGTTAACTAAGACACTCGGCGGTCGGCCACTTTCTAGGAGAATCAGTTGCTCTCGAAGCCCACTCAGTATATAACTAGGGCAGCAGACTCGGGCAGTCTATTTATTGAAATATTAATCAGTATTTTAAATCCTCACTATTATGAAGCGAGTTGGTGCTATTTTCCACAATTCTTCACTCCAGTTCAGTATGACCGTCTTTCGCGTGAAACCAGCATGGCTGCGTCTCCGGAGACGTAGCAAGTTGCTCCATCAACTTTACATCTGGGTCGTTGAAACCATGCTCCAACATACCAGTTTCTACAGCCAGATTTGCATACTTGATGGCACCCCACCGGTCTTTTTCTGCGCAAAAGGCCGTGGCAGCATATCGGTAGGCATCCGCCACGGGGCCGTACAGTCTCTCCTGTTCGTATAGGCTAACAAGTGCTAGAGCCATCGAGGATGGCATGATATTATCCTCAACGTCAAAGTCCTCTGTCATCTCCTCAATCTTGGCAAGGCGCGCGTCCGATGCAAGGCTCAGCCGTGCCGCCATGCTGCACGAATTGCAAGAGCAAGTGAAGCCCCATGTATCGGCAAGAGTCTCCATTCGCTCCTTTCGAGACATTTGCGGATCAATATACGTAATCGTGAGCTCCGTGCCGGGATGTATATCCGTCAGGGCATGGACATAATGGGTGAGGGTGGCTTCGTCGAAAAAGTATGCTGCGTTGGGTCGGCAGTCATGATTCAGACGCTGCGCTTCATTAATACCAAGTCAACGAGTGGAGGACTTGCGCTTACTGCAATCTCGGGGAATATCGCATAGTGCTCGATATCTTTGATCTCAATCGAGAAGGCGTTGGTATATATTCGGCCTTGGGCGGGACCATAGCTCGGCTGCCCAAAAAGGTTCCAGAACAGGTCCTTTGCGGGCAAGGGCAGGCTTCGCACAGCATCATGCTCCAACCCAGCCCAGACATCTTCTTGTAGACTTTGAGAAGCATCCTCATGAAACATTAATATGGGCGTGTGCGCAAAGATGCGGTCGCCCCGATGCAGTGTCTTATTCGCAATCAGGCCTTTGCCACGGCCTGGCAGATCCCTCTCGTCAAAGGGTGGGTTAGGTGGCTGCTCGTTGATGCTCGATGCATGATGTGCATCGGGAACGGAGAATGCAGGGAGGCGTTCAATGTGCTCCATGGTCTGTGCTGTCGTGACGATGGAGATGCCGCGCCCCGAGGCGAACAAGGGAGAGGAATAGACACAGACGGGATCTGTATCGTTCGCTTTTGCCTGACAGCTTTCATGCGAGGGAAGTAGACTATTCCAGAGCTCATTGCCTGCTTGAACAGGGCCAAAGACGACGGGCGCAAACGCATCCCGTTGACGCCAGTAGTCAGATCCAGCAGCCGCCAGGGCGTAAAGACTAGGGGTGAGAAATAGAGCGCGCATTATTCAATTACGAATTCTGGATGGAAATAAAAGACTACGGAAGAGTTCCAATTTTGAGGGCGCGACTTTGGTTTATACGCACGACTGGTGAAACGAGGACGGCTGTGTATCCCTTTGAGTGTTCCAAGGCTTCGCGGACTTGCAACTTACAATGTTAGGGATCCTGGATTAACAATACTGGACGGCGAATGTGGAGGTAAGCGAGTACTAGTCAGGTTCAGAAATTCAAGAATAAACTGGGCAATCATACAGAGTCCCAAGACAATAAGTGGTGAACCCTTTTATTAGCGCAGTCACAGGTCCCCTGTTTTACTGGTGTTTTGGCCACTCTGGGGTCGTGCCATTCTATCCGATCATTTTTTCATGACTGTTATTTGAGCTCATCTTCTTGCTCTTGGCGCAGTTGATCAGGGACATCGGCAACCGGTACAGGATGCTCCGTGCCTTGAACGGGTATGTTCGGCTCCTGCTTGTCCACGCTTGCAGGGTCATCCTGGCTTTGTTGCCGCCATCTGTTGATGCATTCCTTCTCCATCCCAATCGACGCTGATCTGTACAAACCCACTGATCAGCGTTTCTGTTCCACAGCGGAGCCGGCTCTTTGTGAGACAGCAGTGGATTGAAAAGTGTTTTAAAGGCCGAGAGGCGCACCTGATGGCTTGTCCAATCACTGGGCAGAAACCATAGGTGATGTCCACACTGGAATATCTACGCCACGACACACTTCAAGATACTACCAACATCACACATACGTAAAATGTTTGGATCTTGCCCCCATGTACTCATGGATTTCCTCCCGCCAGAGCAAGTAGAAATAATGAAGTCATGTCGAGAGGGGTAGAAAATTATCCCTCGGGAGCGATGTAGTAACCTGGTGGGTGGGCTCTCGTTCGAGAGCCATGATGATTTAGCAGAGGCCGTATACCCATCATGCGGGGGTACCCAACACTCCTGCATAGTGCTTTTGTTGATAATATAACAGAGAAAATGTAGCTAGCAGAAGCAGCTTCTGCATAGTGGTTTTGTTGATAATATAACAGAGAAAATGTAGCTAGCAGAAGCAGCTTCTGCAGCTACCTTTCCAAATGCAGTCCGATAGGCGGCACGCAGACGGCTGAGAGGTGCATACGCGTGCCCTCGTCAACGCCGTTGTGTCACTAGAGAGTGGCCTCGGCCGGGACTTGAACTTTCGTGTTGAGAAGAGCACGATGAGTTGCCTGATGGGGGTGCATGATATGCACAGTCGCGTGTCGCCGGTCGGTGAGCGCATAGGCGCACATAGTAAACGGGTCTATTGCAGTATATTCGCGGAGTCTGGACTCTCATGTCTTAAGAAAAGCCACTTGTGCACTGAGATGGCTGTTCCCAGCTGAAGAAGGGCCATGTTACGCACACTTCTGACCCCGTCATTACGCAGGATACTCTGCAATGATCAAGGCTACTCCGGGTTTGGTCCCCGATTTTAGGTCCAAGATGAATATAAAAAGGGCTGGGTCTTCTCTGGAGATATGTCGGAACCTTCAACACAACGCAACATAGCAACATCCTACTCTACCACATCAAAGAACTGACGCCAACTCTTTCATTCCTCTCATAACCCTGCAAAATGGAGATCGCTGAGCAGAACGTTGGCAAGTCTTGTGTTCCGACGGATCTTTGCCCTGATTTTTAGCTGACAATGTCTCCCCATAGGTGCCATTGTCAACCTCATCCCCCCAAAGGAGGGTAGCAACATCTGGACGGCCAAGCAGGTCACCATTGCTCGGAACCTTCCTCCCAATCGTGGAACTGGCCGCCACCAGATTGACTGGTCCTTTGGGCCCGTCAAGGTATGTCACGATTAAAAAAGTTGATCAAGTCTTATATTAAAACTGCTTTTAGGTTACCGGTTATGTTGATACCACCAACTGGGAGATTGGTGTGACTGTTAGCATCATGGGAATCGACCTTGGCACCGTCTATGGAAACCTCAGAGACGGAGTCGTCCTCAACGTTGACCTTTTCCTAGCCAAGGGCCAGGTCCGGTTCTACCTGAAGAACGGCAACGAAGTTTGGGTTCACCTGAGTGTTGAGATCAGATTCGACGGAAAGTTCGAGGGCGACTACAAGATTATCACAGTTTAGAGCTTTCTAACTCTACACGGATTTTCATCCAGAACTTTCTATATTTGAAGAAAATCTCCCATTGCCTTCATTCTCAAGGCATGTTTGCCTGTCTTTCACATAGTTACGTGGTGTGGCGCCGTCGTGGTGAATTTGGGCTTTGAGCCGCGGGATTACACCTGGCACGCCGGCAGGTTGTCACTTCCAGCATAACACGCTCCATGATAAACCCGACTTCAGTGGTAGATGACTTGCCGTGCAATTCAAATCAACACGGATAGGTAGTCTGCAGATATGACGATGATGTAGACATTGATCTTTTTGACCCATCGTCAAGGGTAGGTGCTGCCGCTGAGCCAGCAGTCTCTGGACAAATCCATGGCGAGGCTGTGAGGCGGGAAAACCCGAAGGCGGGGTAAAGAAAATGCACGGAATTCAAGGCAGCCTTGTCTCAGAGAGGACTCCAGAAAGGTTCTGGGTACGTACCATGTCGGCCTTGTCCGATCTGGTGCCTTCCTACCGCAACAACAGGCTGAGTGCATGCGTGTCTAGGGTGCATTTGTCGCTGTTGAGGTGGCCCCTGGCCAGTTGTGTTGAGAGGTTTGGCCGCTTTCCCTGGCTCCTTTGATATCATTGTGCGCGTAGCGACAAGAATTGTTTTGAATTGTTGATGCTGCTGCTGCCAGTTTCGTGCTCGGTTCCCCGCAGGGGAAACATCACGAACCGCCAAAGTGTGACCGCCGATCGGGGCACCACGGGTGCATCCCCTATTCGTGCACTGTGGCACTGTTGGTACTGCCATCCGGCTTGCATGCCGGATGTCAGCGGGCACAGCCACCCAGGAGAGGCCGCCGTCTTGCAGGGTTGGACTTATGAGCACACCGTAGCCGGGCCATGTACAGATAAGTAGGACTTGCGCAAGTGCAAACCTTTCGCTACGTTGACTTACTGCGTGATTCATTTGTCTTCCCTACAAACCATTACCCTCAAAACGTGGAAACTCAGATTGCTGCTGCGAAGCTCTGCACGCTTGGTCGTCTTGGACTGGGGAACATTCCTGTCAGCATTTCCGGCACCATTTATGACAACAATGGATCCGTTTTCGATATGCAAAACCGCAGTGACGCTGATCGGGGCGTCCGAAAACGTGAGGAGAATCTTGGAACAAGCGACCAACCAGGCTTCAACCTGCTCACTGCTCTCAGGTCACAAAAGCCATTTGTAGCTTCACACGATATGCCACCGACGCCAAGGCTCATATGGCGGCGCTCAGCTCCGAAAACACCCGTTTAACAACGTCTCTGTACGCGATACGCAATATGATAGAGAACCATCGCTTTGATGCGCATGCTCTTGCTCCTGGCACTGCCGAGTTGTGGCAGCAGAGCGACCAGGCACTCCAAGACTGTGAGGCGACATTGAAGGAGCTGTCCAACTTTGTCGAAAGTCTCAAATGTCCCAAAGCGATGATGATGTGGCGCGTCAAGTTCGGTCTTGACATGAGTATCCACGCTGGGAAACTCGAGCAGTTCCGTACCAGGCTGCAGCAGTGCAACTGTGCGCTGCAGACGATTCTGCAGGCAATCGCCGTGTACGTGCCATCGCCCGCGTCTTGGAAAAGAGGATAAAGGGACTCTAACGTTGAGTATTAGGTCGATTTCACTACAAACGAACGCTTCGCAGGACCTCTTCGCGGTTGAATTAAGTAAACTGAAGTCGTCGATTGAGAAGGTCATTACGCTCGTCACTCAATCGAGCTTGACAGCGTCGGCAGAGACACAGGCCACCAAAAACCTCCAGGGCCTTGCAAAAGCTGCAGAATGCTTCTACTCCACCGCGGCAACCAGTGTTGGAGGCTCAGTTGGAGGCTCCTTCGCCGGCGGCTCCATCGTGGGTGGCTCCATCGCCGGTTGGGAACAACCAGCCAGAGACACAGGAACATTTGCTACCTTGCCGCCATTTAAGAGACCGCTTTTGCTTAAGTACCTACGAGACACCCGCCAGGAAGGGATTCCATCTACAGCCACGATAAGGGAAGAAAGAGACATTCACTCCACTGAGTTTCCCGAATGTTCCATACCAGATAGCTCTGCTCAACTGACAGAAACCCCTTCCATACTCATGAAAACGGACCCCGACGTGGATTTTCAACAAAGGTTGGTCGGAGTACTCGAAGAATTTGCCATTGTAGAAATGGTAGACGGACATTTTGCCGAGGCAGCTGAGCATTTGAACAGGGCCTTGTCTGGTGAGGTTGCGCTAGTCCGTGAGCCGGAAGCCCAAAGGCGGCTACAGACCCGCCTTGGGATATGCTACGTTTTACAGGGCAAAATCCAGGAGGCGCTGGAAGTCGTCCCCAATTTGGAAGCAAGTGAGGAACTTGAGGACAGAGAGCTTCTTCATCTGATGCATGCCATAGCTATCATCTACCTTGCCGAAGGAAAGGACGCCGCAGCATTGGATCTTGGCACAGGGATCCTGAACGCCAAGATTAGACTTTTGGGCAAGTCACATCCGGAAACCTTGACATCAGTCGGCTTTTTGGGGGACGTATATGACAAGCGCAAGCAGCCGTTACACTGGGAAGCCAACCGTCGCCGGATGCCCCACGACTACGTGTACAGCCGCCCGGAGAACGCGTTTGACTACTTAGCACAGCATTCCATGCTAATGCCTGCAATAGCATTGGGGTCGGAAAAAGCCGAGCTACCTGGTACACCTTTCTCGGAGGACTCTCAGAGCGCCTCTGCACAGACGGAAGAGATGGAGCGCGCGTCGAACTCTAGTATCAGGAGAACCTTGACGCAGTACAAAAGACAGCGGGCGGCTGAATTGGCGCAGTACGAAAGCCAGCGGGCGGCTGAATTGGAGGCATCTTTGGCCACCACCGTGACTCCCCCAGAAGAAGAAGAAGAATGTCCCGCGCCCGAAATTACTGCCTCCACCAACGGGCAGAAGCGTGTGTTATCCCGCAGCATGACTTCTATGCGTCGACACCTCAGCACCTGGCGGTCCTCTAAGCTTGCGACAGAGCGCAAGGAGCAGGCTGTATCGGGAAACCCCAACATCCGAAGATCCAGAACGGTACTGCACAAGGCACCGCGGAGTCAGATGGGATCCTCTGGGCCCACGGGACTGGCCAGGGCGAAGAGGTTCCTCGGCATACTCAAGACGGAGATGACGGTCATCACCGTGCCCACGGAGATGATCATGACGAGTACGCCTGCGGAGGAGGAGATCTTGTCGGTATTTGAGCTCGATTCGAAACCTATCGCCAGAGACAACCGCGCGAAACAGCCCACGCACACCGACCAAGAGCAGGAAACCCCTGCAGATCACGGTGCCCAAGCCTCGATGCCTGACGTACCGCCATCAGAGCTACCGCGAGCGAGCGTGCGGCCATTGGATATGTCGTTGGACCAGATACTCGAACTACCAGAGCCCGAGTCGGGCGACGGTGGGAAGATAGTCATCGAGGACGAGGACAACAGTTCGGAGGGCGGCATCAGCAGAAGCCCATCTGACAACCGCAGCACCACATCTGGCAGCAGCTACAGTACCAACACGACGGTATCAGACGTGGCTCCAGCCTCTCCCGTCGATTGCAGAGACAGTGACAGTTCCTCAGTGGTGCGATCGTTGTCGCAAAAACATGAAGACAGTTCATCCGTGGTGCGATCGTTGTCGCAAGGACATGATGGGGCTCAACTGGCCAAGAATTCCTCATTGAATCGCTCAAAGACCCCCATCCCATCTCAAGGAAAGGATACTTTGCTTCCATTCCACGCCTCTGTTTCTGCTTTGAATCGTTCAAAGACTTCCATACCATCTTATGGAAAAGATCCTTTGCTTTCATTCCAGGGCTCTGTTTCTGCATTGAATCGTTCAAAGACTTCCATACCATATCATGGAAGGGACTCTTCGCTTCCAGTCCATGGCGGCACCCAGGTACTACCACAATTTTCGCTTGGCGGCTCCAGCGATGGTTCTGGCGAAACACATGGCTTGAAGCGTACCGTTTCCTGGCGCCATGGTGACGAAAATCTCTTCACGGTCAGATTACCGGACCGGGAACCGCAACCGACAAATGCTGAAGCGGAAGTTTTACAAGCTGGCGATGGTAATGTCGAAGATGGTGACTGCAAGCATAGGGCCGTTTTAGAATTCTTTTTGTGTGGCGCGGGTTCTGGTTAAGACGGCATGTTTCTGCGACGTTGTGACGTACGCACAGTTTTTTGTTTTGGAGTGCAGTATGAATGGAATTAATAGTATGATCGAGCAACCATTGAAGGGTAGATTTGGGTAAAGACGCATCGCCGTCTCAGCTGGGAAGATTGGGCAAGATGGGGAAAAAATAAGCATGCAACGGGTAGACGTGCTGATGAATGTGCGAGTGCTCGACGTGGCATCTGGGTAGATGGTGGGCAAGGAGTTTTTGGCTAATTAGAATTTACTGCTCCGTTAATATAGTACAGTGCCCTGACCCCACCCCCCGTTTAAACACGACTTGCTTGTGTCTCGTTAGCACAGCTCATGTTGGCGCAGAAGCTTCCATATGAGGCGGGCCGCTCTTCGTGGCTTCACTAGGCTAATAGACGAGTAGCGGACTGTAAATCCACCCGTCTCCAGTCGCAGTCGCTTGCCTAGCGGCTGCGCAAGCCCATCCAAGAACGTTTTAGGGATCGTCGCTGTGTAGAACAACAGCTCCTCGGCGAGAGGTGTAGGGAGCCCCAGCAAATGGACTGTCCACGCTTGTGTATCATCGCCGTCGTCCACCGCAGTGGTTCGCTGGTACTGCGCCAGCGCAACAAGAATGCTGGCCAGATAGACATCCTCCTTTGCGTTTCTTGCCACTGCCGATTGATCCCTTGGCCTGCACCGGCTTCGCATCTGCCTGATGTTCTCAAAGTGCACGTACGCCAAACAACACCGTCCCTGTCCCGTTCGGTACAGCCCTTCCATCACCACCGTCCACACCATTTTCCCGCCAGCCCAAAGCCCGAGTTCGCCCGGTCGTAGTCGATGTCGTCCGGGGCGGCATCGAGGCTGCGGCCATTCCATCGCAAAATGACTAACAAATCTGTCCGGAAAACAATTAGTAGGCAAACGCAAAACACAGACCGTCACTTACGAGATGCATTCTAGGCCATATTGCTTCAATATGGACTGCAGTAACACAGCCTGGGCATCCGATTCAGACTTTCCTAGTAGTCTCGTCCACCGGATAATTTTCTTGCCCTTCCATAAAGGTAAAGGGTCATTTTTCGGACATGATATCGTCGCGCTCTCGACACGCGGTGCACCTGGTGTTGCTAGCGGCACTTGCTCAAACGCTATGCCAAACGCTCCCGCTAGGCGTTCAGTCCAAAGAATCGGCGATACCGTTGCTCTGGTCTCTGCCCGCTGCAGCTTGTCAAGTACGCTTTCCGATGCTCGCTCGGTGCTGGTGGCCTCCTCCTGGCAGGGCTCACCCCATTGTCGCCGTTTTGGTTCGGGCCCCGCGTGCGTGCACAACGCCTTTCGCTTCGGTTCTACCAGGTCCTCCTCCGCCTCGGATTCGAAACAGAGCTGCCGTTTGGCTCCCAGCTGTGACTGCATCACTGACTACTGACGCGTTCAACTTCCTGGTTGTAGATGTGTAGTGTTGCAACAAAAGCGGGATCCACACTTTACTGGCATGAAATTAGATGATCTTGCGCTCCGCAGGGTATCCACAGACTGGACTACCTGCAACCGAATACAGGACAGGCTTCTTATATCTTATTTTAATATGTTATGCTCCTTTTAATTTTCATCGTGTTTTTAATTATAAATCTGTTATTCGTTATTAACATTTATAATAAAAACTATAGATTATTATCATCTTATCAAGTTTGTTAACTATAGTTTTATTATATATCATTATATATCATCTTGCTTTTGTACTTTCAGATATATGTCTAGCGATTGCACTGTTCGTTTACATAGGATATACCTATATAGTCAAGATATACCACGGCAACGCTTGCCAGCTGCTGATCTAGTAATCTCGCATGGCGGGGAGCCAGTACTTACAACCACGGCCATTTGTCGCGCCTTAATCCTTCCACTCCGTCGAACGACTGATGCAGAAACTACATTTTAAGTGTTGGAGGGCAAGGGCTCGAGCGTAGTGGCGTTGCCGCACTCTGAACTTCGTCCGAAGTAACGATTTCACAGTGCGCAGTAGCAATAGGCATTACGACACGACCGCTAGCGAGAAAGTGCTTGGTCGGAAGCTCCACGTTTGTTAATCGGCATCGTGTCTGGTGTTTCGTCCTCGATAGGCCTCTTCCTCTTCCGACCTCCGATCTTGTTCGATGTAGGTGACGCCTGTATTTTTGCCCAGTCCAGCAGGATAAGCTGATTTGCACTGTTATTTTTGGCCTTTTTATAGTCAAAAGTATTTCGAATGAAGTTTGTGATGAGAGCGTCGCGTCGTTCGACGAAGTCGACCCTGGCTTTTGCGTCTCTCAGTTTCCCAAGGGCTTCCCGAATCTGCTTGGCGCTTTGGTTCAATGTATTGTGCACCCTCTCTACCTCGAGTTTTGCTGCCAGCAAGGCCGTCTGCGCGTCGTGCAATTCTCGGTGGCGACGCATTGAAGAAGCAGGTGTCCGGAGAGACTCTGCATTCTCGTCAGGTTCCAGTATCGCGGCAGCGCACAGCTCTGACCACGCGGCGTCGTATTCAGGCTCCAAACGCTTGACTTGTGCATTATACCAGTCATACCACCAGCATTCGAAACATAGGTACTCGATCAACGTAGTCAACACACTTTGCAGTCTGGGTTGTTCATGCAGCGAAAATGGCTGGCGGAACCCGTGACGTGCCAGGCGCACCTTTGCGGCGGCTTCGTAGTCGCGGAGAGAAGTGTGGCCGGGCTGGCGGTAGAACTGGCGCTGCCATTTGCGCTTTTTCAATCGTGCCGCCCACGACTCGCGAAGGCAGGATGGATTAGAGTCAAGCTTAGCCAGCCCATCCACATATCCTAGTTTACGGTATAAAGCCCTGGTTTCGTCCACATGCGCCGCGTAGCCGTTGCCGTCTTCTTGGAGACCTCTGTTGACAAGTTGCCAGAGACGGAAATCTGCCCAACGCTGCCATTGCCTCTGGAATACGTCGCAGTCGCTATTTCCGTCTCTAGGGTGGCCCCAAAACGGCCGGAGCATGTCGCGGTACTCAGAAGGGCTTTGTAGCACTTGGCGCAACAGGTCGATGGGGTATAATGGTCGGCCGCCATCTTTGACAAGTCGGTCGTGGGCCTCTGTCTCATCAATCAAATCTTGGTCCGGGTCAGGTATTCTCGTATTGCTGTCACTTTCACTGTCTTTATCCCCCCGAGTATTGTCTCCTGTATCATTCGTTGTCTTTTCTGTCGGCGAGGCTGACAAGAAGGCGTCCTGGTTGTCAGCAGCTTCTTGGATGCGCCGAATGAGGAATTCGACATCGAGAGCGTGCGCTGAGGTTCCTCGCGCGGCGGCACTAACGAAACGTCAGCGACAGTGCTTCTCGTGACTAGCAACGCACTCACTGCAACCGGGCAGCGATATATCTTTCTTGCTGGGGTGATGCCTCTAAACCGTCCAAGGGTATCTCGATGTCGCCGTTAGGACGGCGATGTCTGCTTATGAGATCATACAATTGTTCGTCGTTGAGCGTCTCGAAATCATGTATTGTTGATAGCTGTAGTAACGCCATGTTGCCTTTTGCTTGACCTGTCGTAGATAAACGACAAAAGTCCTGTGCTGTCCTTGTTGCTGAGAAGGGCTCAGAGAGCTTCCACGTTGACGCAAGTTGGTACCTACCTACCTACCTAGGTACCAAGGTACAGAGAGAAGATACACCCCTCGACCCCCCCTCTCAACCGTTGTGCACTCACAAGGGTACCCAAATTTGCCCGCCAAAACAGGCACTAGCAAAGTAGCATGGTGAAATGCCCCATCCTCGAGCACTTGTACACTTGTAGTACACGCAGTGTTCCAAGCGAGCGAGATCAGTCGCCAACGATTAATAAATAGGACAGAATTAGGAGCCGTAGTTCGAAGCAGCGCTCCATATAACCCTCGACTTACTGGTAACATTCGCGAAACGCCGAATATTCGGGACTGGAGCCAAGGCTCCATGTGTACATGAATTTGCTGTCTATATCCTTGTACAGGGCGGAGGGCGGTTGGAAGGTGCACGTTGTTGGCATCACCGGGACACGGGCAAGCGAGATGTACTTCTATACCGCAACGGTTACCAGGGAATTCTTGAGGAAGGTCTCAACCTTAGTTGGGGGGAGTGGGATCGGCTTAGAGGTCAGATTCGTCTCGATTATTACAGGTACCAGTAACAACCCACTTCGTACAGTCCGCGACCAGCAACCTGGCAGGGCAGCGTTAATTGTGTATCAACATTCCAGCCTAACTTGTAGTAAATGGAGCAGTCCTTAAAGCATAGTACAATACTAAATTTAGATACCTTTAGATAATACAAATTGTAGCCAAGGATAATAGTACGTCTCGTTATCCACCGCCTCCATGATTAAAGGTAGGTACTTTGCGCGCCATTCGTCTTGAGTCTCAGGGCTAAAGCAATGTGAAGCAAGCTCTACACGGCGTGCCTTGCAATACTCCCAATAACTAGGGTACCAACCCGCCTGACCCCAATCAATGATGGCGACCACAGTTGGCTTCGGCCCCGTAGAAAGTAGAATATTTGGTGCGACGAGATCTGCGTGCGTGAAGACTATAGGCCCACGTTGGGAAATGTCAATGCCACAGGCAGCGTGAAATTGCGCGATAGCATCTGGCCCCTCAAATGGGCCGGTGAGGTCTGGGCGATGTTGAAGGAAGATGTCATTAAGTGCTTGCTTGCCTGTACTGCCTATTAATTCGTCAGTAATAGGGCCTGGCGAATTGCCCGTTGGACTACCGACCTATGTAGCATTCTTGGTCGTCTTGCAGCAAGCTTCGCCAAGAAGCAACCATGCGCTTCAGCTGACTGCAGATAGAAAGCCTGTTGGCCTTATCTAGATTATGCCATCGCGCTTCCAAAGTCTCGCCTTGGATCAGCTGCATGTAAATGAAAACCTGGCCGCCATCTACGACCCAGCCGAAAACTTCAGGGGTCGGGACCTGGCCGCATAGTTTCTCACGGATCATTATCTGGGTTCTCGCCTCATGAATCGTCACATCGGCCCCATACTTGACGAGGAGACCAAGCGACGGGATGTGTAAAGGCGGCGGGCGATAGAAGTTCTCCGCACGTACACCGCCCAAGTTACGGTTTAGCGCCCTGATTGTGCTTGGTGAGGGCATCGGCTTGTCGGGGGAAAATCTGCTGTAGTTGACCGTCGAGAAGTCCAGTTCGACACCAGAGGGTATAGCTTTTGACGCAATCATAGCAGCAAGAATGTTGATACGTGGACAAACTAGAAGTAGGACGCGAAATTCGGATTACATGGTGTCAGTGGGCGGTTCCCAAACTTTTTTCCTCCAGGTCACTGAGCCGCTTTGTTAGCCCCGCTATGCGCAAAACCGTGACTCGCTGGGTGCGCCCGTTGCCCTTGAAACTCGACCGTACCACGATCAGGCAAAGCCTACAACAACCCACGCATGGAGACCGAGACCGTCGAGCAAGCTCACACGCGCCATCGCAAAGAGCTCAAAGACCTACAAGGCCGAGTGACGAATAAAAAGAAAAGTGCGACAAAGAAGACGCGAAAATCGGTAAACGACGAGTGTTCAGAGCTGGAGCGTGCCTTGCGCGAGCGACAGGCGACCGAGCTTGCCAGGCTTGGCGGAGAGATACCGACGGACGGGGCCACGGAGGATGTCGAGGACACAAACATAGACGGCACCTACGGGGCGCTCGTCAATGAAACACGCGACAAGCTGAATATATCTTCGAGAACTGAGGTTCCCACGGCAGAAAGTTCGCCCCAGAACGATTCACCGCAACCCGGCAAGAAGCGCAACAGGCAAAAGGAACGTCTGGCACGGCGCGCGGCGGAACAAGAGGCAGCCACGACCAAAGCCGAGGAGGAGGCCTCCACGATGACAAATCACCGCGCCATCGAGAATGCGTATATGAAGAAGAAAATGGAGGCCGAGGGTCTCGTGGAGAAAGACATCGCGCCGGACGGGCACTGCCTTTTCTCCGCTGTAGCCGACCAGCTACAGACGCAGCTCTCCATCCCACTGAGTAGCGACGCGAGCGAAATAACGGAGCCGGCATACAAGAAGGTACGGCGAGCCGCAGCAGAATTCATGGCGGCACACGGCGACGACTTCGCGCCGTTCATCGAGGGCGATTTCGAGGCGTACCTGGCGCGCATGCGAGATACAGCAGAGTGGGGGGGCGAGCCGGAGCTGATGGCTTTGGCACGGGCGTATGACGTTGGGATACGCGTGGTGCAGGACGGACGGACAGAGGCGATTGGAAATGGAGACAAAGTGATATGGTTGGCGTATTATCGGCATGGCTATGGCTTGGGCGAACATTACAATTCGTTACGTCGAAAGTGAAGTCACGTTTTCACTCCGAGTCGGCAAGCGACGAGAAGAGAGGCGTGGGAAAGGAAGCTCAAAAAGTGTCGACAGCCATAATTCTGGCGGAAAAAGGGAGCATACATTAGCTTTCGTCATTTGCATATAGAGGATTTGATTTAAGCCAGTTCCGCCAATCCAGGCTGGATATGACGCGCTTGACAAGTGCGACTTTTTGAGAGCGGTAGCCCGGATTTATGTACAAGACTGATTCCCTGGTCTAGTTGCCACACTTATAGGCATCGTTTTATATCGTGGCATGTATTCTTCTCCGAGGGCGTTTGCTACAGACTCCAAACCGAAATGAAATCGCGCACCGAGCCGTCCTCGTTCATGCCGGCTTTATGGGTGCGCTCTGGCTTGATGAGGCTTATTCGATGTAGCGCACCATCAGTAGGCTTCAAATCGTGCGTCTCAATGACAGTACCATCGTCGTTGTAGCTCAGCTCGTGTCCGGGGTGCGACAGTAGCTCTTCATAGACCTCCGGGTTGAGGCCCCAGGGCGGCCCTTGGTCAGAGAGAGGCTTCCCCGAGGGAAATTCCAAACACACGAGTCGGCCATCATGAGAAAGAAGTTCAGACATGCGCTTGGACCATTGCGGACGGAGCTTTGGGGGCAAGGCGCAAAGAAACTTGAGACGATGTTAGCAAAGAGTGCGATCCAGCACTTGACAAATGAGACCGGAGAAGCGTACCGTATAGTCGTAGATCAGATCAAACTTGCCGGTGCCATCAGTACCCAAACCCTTGGCCCAATCCTGCGCAAAGAAGTCGGCGACGGCCCACGATTCTTGTCCAATCTGCATATCGCCCTGCGGCTTGATGCCGCCAGGCGTGGCCTCGAGCGCCGCGATGTTCTCCTTTGCGCGACGAATGCCATCGGCGCTACAGTCCAAGCCGACAACATTGTACCCAAAGGTCTTGAGCAGGAGCACGTCGTGGCCGCGGCCGCAGCCGGGCACGAGCGCTGTACGACGAACAACAGCGCCGGTTTCGTCGCGGAGGGGTTTGCCACGGCGGTCCACGTCTTGGGCGGGGACCACCAAGTCGGGGCGCAGGGAAAGTAGGTCGGCGAGGGCGAGGGACGGACCGCCGCGGTCCCAGGGATGGAAGTCGTGTTTGTAGAGGTTGTCCCAGGCGGTTTTCTGGTCTTCGGAAGCGTGGCCGGCAATGGCAAACGTGTCGCGGAGAATGTTGGGGTTGGAGGTGTCTGGAGCGGCCATGGCTAAAGAAATGTCGGCATGAGGCAGCACAGATTTGAAGGGATAGATTGAAGGTTGTAGTTCTTGAGAGTGAATAATGATAATTCGATAGCTGAATGACGAGGGCAGCGGAATGGTGTCAACCTTTTGTCGGGTGGCTGTAGTGGGGGTGGGGGAAAGTGGCGTGCCATGAACGGATTAGACCGGGATGACGTATTGTGCAATAGGTTAGAGGCATCTCTACACAAACAATTCTTCAGGCTACTGGACGCGAGTAGTTGACCCAGGAAATACAGATTAACCAACGAATTTGGCATCCAACTCTTATGTAGGGGCGGCTGCAGTATCTGCTTCTGGTACCACTATAGTGGGTGCACAATGGAACCTCGCAAGCCACAACAACGCGGGGACCAGGCGGACAGTTGCTGGAGACAGATGGACAAAGGCCAAGAAGAAGTGTAAGCTAACACGATAATAGGACGAAAAAAAAGAAGCAAAAGGGCTAAAAATAGCGAATCCGCAGAGTAGTTATAAGTTATCGAAAGAGAAGCTACCAAGCCGCAGGCGCACAGTTACCGTATTAGGTGCGGCTGGGGCTGACCTATCAGAGCGTGGCCGACTCAACCGGTAGCCTCGGCTTAGCTCGCTCTGGGGAAGTTCATCTCATCCACGCCGCGCTTGCATCTCCGTAACATTGCATCAATAAAAAGGGCTTCAAGTCAGAAAAGCGTGTTCTTGTACAAAGTCAACTGGTTTTCTTCATTTTCTTCGTTTTAATAATACGCATAGAGTCGACTATGGATTCCTGCAGTCTCTTCACCGTCAAGGTACGCTTCCCGCCTCTCATCCGCCGTTTCAAGCTCATCATGTTTCTATTAGGGCAAGAATGTGCTCATTACCGGAGGTACCCAAGACCACCAGACCTGGCCACTAATTTATTGCTAAGCGGATACAGGTGCCAAAGGCATCGGTCGCATGATCACCCAAGGCTACGCCGAGTCCGGCGCCAACGTCTTCATCACCGGACGCGACGCCAAAGCCTGCGAGTCCGTCGTCGCTGAACTGCAACCCGTCGTCGCCAAAGCCGGCGGCTCCGTGTTTGCCATTACCGCCAACCTGCAATCATACGAAGAGTGCGAGCGCCTCGTAGCCGAGTTGACCACGGCGATCGACCAAGCCGGGCGCGCCAGGGGCCTGCACGTGCTCGTCAACAACGCCGGCGCGGTCTGGGGCGCCGACATTGACAGCTACCCGGACCACGCCTGGAACAAGGTGCTGACACTCGACCTGCAGCGCGTCTTTACGCTGTCGCAAAAGGCGCTGCCGCTACTCGAGCAAACAGCCACGGCCGAGGATCCGGCGCGCCTGATCCATATTGGCTCCATTGACGGCATTCGCACCCCCTCGACAGCCAACTTTGCCTACTCGGCGGCAAAGGCCGGCCTGCACCAGCTCTCGCGTCATCTGGCCAGGGACCTTGGCCCCCGGTTCATTACCAGTAATGTCATCGCTTGCGGGCCATTCCCCAGCCACATGATGAAGGCAACGCTCGAGGCGGCAGGCGACTACATCAGGAGTGAGGTACCCCTGCGGCGGGTGGGCAAACCCGAGGATGCGGCGGGCGCGTGCATCTACTTGTCGAGCAAAGCTGGGTGAGTTTTGGTTTCTTTCATGTTTCACTTCTCTGTCACAGCTGCATTAAATTGCATGACCTCGCTAATAATTGTAGTGCCTTTTGCACTGGCGCAACGATTCGTGTCGATGGTGGTGCGTCACAGGTGGCCAAGATTTGATGTGTATACGTTGGCTTTATTTCTTGCAACGTGCTTGAGTGGTGTATCTTTTGAACCGAATAATTTATCTTTTATTAAACTAGATAACCGCCAATCAGTCACGCGCATATAGTCAAGCGAAAAGTCGTAGGTTGCCACTGGCATGTATTGACTAAATTCATTCGATCCGCTCCATCTACTTGAGGGGGGTATAACGGCTATGCTATCAAAATACAAGAAAACAAAACCCAAACAAATCTACTATCCACCAAGTAGTCTACATATAAAGCAAAGAAGCAGAGAACGCCTCAAGTCTGCGCCAGAAGCAAAGTAGTCAAGCGATGCGGTTCAGACGTCTGGTCAAAGACGCGAACCAGTCCTAATGAAGGTCGGTCAAAAAACCGCCTCGTGCAAGCAAAGAGCCAACCCAAATATTTATGTGTAGTCAGTCACAGGCGTGACTTGGTCTTGGTGAATGGAATTGAAAGCCGCAGGGTTAAGGGCTCAAACAGCCGCTGTCGCGGGGGAGGGTCGCAGTAAGGCACGAGATTGGTGGAATCGAGCCGGTGACGCTAACATGTGACGAGAAATGTGCGACAATAGCATTGTGCCAGCGGCGGGCCAGGCAGCAGGACACGACCGCAGACGTATCGAGGAAGGATGTATTATAGGCCGCAATTTTCGAATTCGCGGACCATGACGGCGACCTGGGCGCGCTTGGCCGCCTCGGCCACGAGGGTGAAGTCTTTGAGAAAGGCGTCGGTCGAGGGCGGCTTGTTGTCCTGCGGTGGCGGGGCAGGCACCGAGGCCAACTGGTTGGGCGAGGTGCGGAGAGATGAGGCAGAGGCGACGGAGCAGGCGGCGGCCTGTGACGGGGAAGAAATGGGAGCATTCATCGCGGGCTGTATATCGGTATCGAGGATGCGAAGGAGGAAAAGAGAAAAGACAATCGAAGTTCGGTCAATGTCGGTGTTTGCGACTTTCAAAGGCGGAAAAAAACCCGGTGTCGTATGGTGGCCCGCTCAAAGTGTGGAGAGGGCGGGAAAAAATTCCGACTCGCGTGAGGTGCGCAAACAAAAAGGTGACGGGGGAGGGCGGAGTCGGCAGAAGAAAGCAACGGCCAAGGGAAGGGGTTGTGAGCCGTGTCCGGTTGCGACGATGAAAAAAACAGTGACGACGAGACTCGGACGGAAGTGTGTGCCTGCCTATCGTGTGTGGCGGCGTGCGGCGTGGTGCGGCGGGGATGTGGCCCAGATGCGGTAACGAAGGGAGCTGGGCGACGAAATGCAGCGAAAAGGCCTGTCCACCTAGTTGATTAGTTTTCTGCAAATGATGAAGGGGAGAAACGAGACACCAGAAATGATGGATGTTGTCTGTTTGGGATGGAGCGGGGAAGCTGTGTGGGTTATGACGGGCGGCAGAATTGACCAATCCATTAATACGCACGAAGTTAGTGTTGGATGGCGGCTTGCGTCCTGGGTGACCATAGCACATGGGATGCAGCAAGGACTTTTGGGCGTCTTGCTACATTATGACTAGTGCGAGCGGTCGTTAGTGGTTAACATCACATCGCCTTTGTCTACAATCGCCACCTTTATTTACCTTTGAGAACTCAGACTCGGTGCGCATGTGCCAGACAAAGCGACTTGGTACCAAGGTACTCGGGTGCTGGTCACAAGCGTTGGGGGAGTGGTCGCGTGGAGATGCATCCGTAGGTACGCGAATTATGGGGTATGGAGATGAGTCGCTGAAGAACTCTCCCGGGTACGGGGACGGAGACAAAGAAGCTTAATAAAAGCCTTGACGAGGCCGTATGATCGGCATGGCAGATTCAACTCTTACACGCGCATTGTTTGAGCAGGGGAGCGCCGTCAGCGCATGTGCTGACTCTTGGTACCTACAAGCTGGAATTAATGTTGAGTAGAACTTTCTAGAGATGGAACAGGAAAGACCAAAATAATAGAGGACATTCGTACCGTGATGGTAAAAACTATCAGGAATCAAGTACTGACGATTTACTGGAGTACAAGGTAGGACAGACACGGTTTGTTGCGTCGCCAGGGCGGGCGGACTGTTAGCTAGGGAGGTAGCCAACTTTCCACCTGAGCTGCTTGCTGCCGTCTATTGCACCCGCACCGTACAGAGTACTCTTCGTGACTTCGTGACTGCTATGTTACGACATCAAATAACCGGCTTGAGAGTCCGGAATAGTGTAATTAAATAGATAGCTATACTCAGTAAATAAAGCCGACTCGGCTATATATCAGAATTGTTTACTCCAGTGCTCATCTAAGGACCGTTATATGATTAGCGAATATATTATGATTTAAGTAGAGATTATAGTACATATAATTAGCTAAAGACCTACTTATAATAGAAAGCTAGAAAGGGATAATAGTATATAGATAAAGGAGTTAGGTTTAAAGAAACTAATCTTAATTACTAATAGAATTAAATAATAAAAAGATATACTAAAGGAGTATAATTAGGTTAATTAATTAGGTTAAAAAATAAATATAAAAAAGAAAGAATTTCTTTTTTTAATTAAAAAAAATAAAATAAAAATAGCTATAAGTTTTAATATATATTATTTTTTAACTTTATTATATAAAATTACTTTTAGTTATAATTAATTATTTAATATTTATATTAGTTTATTTATATAATTTATAAAAGTTATAAGCTTAAAAAGTAAATAATAAAAAATACTTTTTATTATTTAAAACTTCTATTTTATTTATAAACTTATTTAAAATATATAAAAATATTCTTAATCTTTTTTTTCTCTTTTTTTTCTCTTTTTTTTTTAATATATTAACTTAAAAAATAGTAACTACTTTAGCTTATTTTAACCTTAAATTTAAAGAATTAAAGTAATAATATAAATAAGAATTTTACTTTAAAGTTTATATATTCTTAAAGTAAGTTTAAAGTTATATAAATCTAAATTAACTTTACTTTAATAGTAATTTATACTTAAAGCTTTATAAGTTTATTTAGTTTTAATATAAAAATAAATACCTAAATATTAACTATATAAACCTAAAAATTACTTATAAAAAGGTAATAAATTTTTAAAAAGAAATAATAATTATAATTAAAAAGAGGTAAAAGAATATTAATTTAGTTTAAATCTAGATTAATACTATTATAAACTTTAAGCTTTTTTTTAAAAGCTTAAAGAATTATTAAAATAAAGGTAGTAAAACTAGGAGCTATTTATAATTAATATACTTTTAAGAATATTCTTAAAGAATTAAAGGTTATTATTACTTTAAATCTTAAAAAAATAAGGTAAAAAGTAAAAAGAAAGTATAAATAAATTATAACTATTAAAAAGATAATATTAAATAGACTAAGTTAAATCTAAATATAGGAAAAAGTATATTAAATAATACTACTTTATTAAATTCTATATAGAAGAATTAATAGCTATTATTAACTTTTTAAATATAATTAAAAAGAAAATAATATTTAAATAGGCTATATCTTTAAAAAGGGATTTTATTAATATAGGTATTTTACTAAGGAATAATTTAATATTAAATTAAACCTTATAAACTACTATAAATATATTTAAAGAAAATATAAAAGAATTAAAATATAAAAAGTTAATTAAGAATACTTTCCTTATATTAGATAATAAATAAAAGAAGAAATCTAAAAAGTAAAGATATAACTACCTTTATTAAAAGAAAGATTAGACTTACTTATAGAAGCTAGAGGAATACTATATTATCTAAAAGGTATATCTAGGTTCTTCTAAACTAGATATAAATATAAATAAATTCTAAATAAAGAAAATTAAAGAAATTATAAATAAACCTAAATAGGCTACCTTTAAAATATTTATAAGTAAAAGAAAGTAGCTATAAAAAGAATATAATATATATATTCTATTTAAAAGTACTCTTAAACCTATAGAAAATATATTCTTTATTATTTATAGAAACTACTACCTATATTATAAAAGTATACTTTTAAATAATTATAGCTTATATTATATTATAAATAATAAAAGCCTTTTTAAACTAAATTCTTATAAAGAGTTATAAAATATCTTAATTAAAGCTAAAGATTATTAATTTATTATTATTAGTATAGAAATAAGAATTATAAAATATATCTTAATTATTCCTAATAGGCTAAGAATTAACTTTTATTTAATAAATATTTATTATATTCCTAGCTTTTATATAAATTTAATCTTAACTAGTATCTTAAAAGCTAAAACTAGGCTCTAAATTAATAGCTATAATAATACTTTAAGGAAAGGTATACTTAAGAATAATTACTATATAGCTTAACTATATAAGAAGGATAATATTTTATTCTTTAAATATAAACTAATTTAATAACTAGAGAAACTAGTATTTTAAAAAATAGTCTTAAGTACCTTTAGATATAGTCTTAATTATATATTAAAAAGAATATCTTTTCTTAAAAAAGAGAATAGTTATTTATAATATCTATAATTAAGATACCTTAAAAAAGAATTACTTAAAGCTTTAATTTAAGAATTAACTAATAACTAAATTATTAGAATATAATATCTAGATTATAAGGTATATAATATTACTTTAATAAAAAATATTATTAATAAGGAAACTAATAATATATTTACTACTTAACTTTTTAAAAAAATTAAATAAGATTTATAAGAATACCCTTTAAGTTATAATAAAATAAACTTTCTTTTTATAATATAAGATAAATATACTAATTTAATTTATTCTATTTTAACTACTTTTAAAAATACTAAAACCTTTTTCTTTATAATTAAGAACTTTATAATATAGATTAAAAGGTAATTTAACCTTAAGGTCTTTATTATAAAATATAATAATAAAAAGGCTATAATCTATAAAGATACTCTTATAAAGTATTAAAAATAAGTAAAGGAATTAAGAATAAAGATTAAAGCTATATTAGTATATATTTATAAGCTAAATAGGTTAAATAAGAGGTTTAGAAGAATAGTTATTAAAAAAATACTTATCTTAATAATATCTTTAAGATTACCTATAGCCTTATAGTTTAAAGTAGTAAAAATAGCTACTTTTTTACTTAGAAATAGCCTAAAGAAAGTATATAAATATAAATTATTATTATAAAAGATAAATTTATAGTTTAAAAAGAGTAAATAAAATACTAAGTATATAATTAGTAAAAGGATTAATATAAAAAAGTAATATATATATAGATATTAAGTATACCTTTTTAATTAAGAATAAGAAAAAGGAATTAATAAAAAGAACTTTAAAGTATACTTTAAAAGATATATTAATTATTTAGTTAATTATATAGTATTAAACCTATACTAAATATAGATATTTTAATTTAACTATATTATTATAATAAAGAATATTAAATTTAATAAAAATATATTTTATTTTTTAAAAATAGAAAATAAAGATAGGATTACTAAGTTAGAATTAAAAAAGGAGATAAAGTCCTTAATAGAAGTAGAAAGTTAAAATCTAACTATAGAATTTAGACTTAAATATTTTCTCCTAATAACTCTATAAAATACTACCTTTAACCTAAATCTTTAAAATAAGTTATAAAATTTAAGTAGATTTAAATAAAATAGTTATAAGATATAAAATATTATAACTTCTAATAAATATATTATATAAACTTAAGAAGTAGACCTAAGTAATATTAGAACTTTAAAAAGTAATATATTATTTTTAATATTAAAGGTAAAAACTAAAAATAATAATAATATAAGGATAGTAATAGGTAATAGAATAGATAATATACTTTTACTTAAGAATATATTAGAACTATTTAAGGATATAAGCTAAGAAAAAGATATTAATAATTTAGCTTTAAAGGTAAAAAAAGATAATTAAATATATATATATTTATTTAGCCTTTAAATAAGACTAGAATTATAAGATTTATATATAAAAAATATTTAAAAAATAAGAATTTAGCTTTTTATTATTTAAAATAAAAAGATAAATCTATACTTACTTAATAAAAATAAGCTAGTAACTTAAGAAGAGCCTATTAGAAAGGATTATAATCTATATTTATAGGATATAGTTATAAAAGACTTTAAATTATAACTAGAAATTTAAGAAGTAATTATAGAAAGCTTAATCTTTATTTTTAAAGAGACTATTTATAAAAGTAAAAAGATTAAAAGGAAGATTAAAAATAGTTAAAAGCTAATATAAAAAAGGATAAAATTAGCCTTTACTATACTCTAATTACTAAAGACTATTACTAAAAAGAAGGAATATATAGCTAATCTTTATTATATTAACTTAAAAAAATATAATAATAGAGAATTATAGATATTATTTATAATACTAAAATATATATTCTAAAATAAATAATTAGATAATAATTAGACTTAGAATATTAGAAAAGATAAGTAGTTATATTATACTAATAATTTACTACCTTTACTTTAGGGGTAGAATAAGATTAAAGAGTATACTTTTAAGACCTAATTTAAAAAAGTAGGTCTTAATAAAATATAAGCCCTTAATAAAATAAAGACTTAAACCTATATATATAGAAATATTAAAAAGGAATATACTTTACCTTTTAAATAAGTATTTATATATAAATTTAATACTAAAAAAGTCTTAATTAAGTATAAAATATAAATCTATATATAAGGGGATTTATAGCTAATTAATAGTTAAGAAGAAATATATATAGCTATATTAATAGTATAAACCTTCTAAATAATAATAATACTTATAGTAAAATATAACTTTAACTTTTAATAATTTAATATTAAAAATACCTTTTTATATATTAGTAAATAGGACTTATTAAATAAAGTCCTATATAGGCTATTACTAGGATTCTAAGAAATAATAAATTTATTAGTAGATTTTAAAAAAGTAGATTATAATATCCTACTAAATTAAATACTTTATAGGTTATAAGACTTATTACTTCTTTAATATTTAGAATTTACTAGTATATTAATAGAGCTAAGGCTTATATAATATAAAAAAGAATTATACCTTTTTTTTAATAAAAAGAGGTTAATATATATTATTTTCTTTATTAATAATATTATTATTTTAAATAAGAAAAAAGCTATAAAGAAAAAGAATAAATTTACTTATAAGCTATTTTAGAAATATAGAATATATAATTAAAGAAAGGTATTATAGTTCTTAAAAGTTAAGATTATTTATAACTAAAAGAAGAAAATAGTATAGCTTTCTTATAAAGTATATATAAAAAAGATTATAGCTAAGTTTAAAGTAATTAGTCTTAATTAAGTCTAAACTTCTTTATTATAATAGTAATTTACTAAAAGAATAAAATAAGTAATATTAAAAGAAGTAAAAAAATACTAAGAAATTATTAAGTTAATCCTATATATATTAATTATAATAAAAGTAGATATTATATTTATAGTATTAATACTATCTTATTATTTAATAAACCTATCTTAAATATATTTTAATATAGCTATTTATATTATTTAGTATCTTCTTAATACTAAAGATTACTATATTATATATAATAAGAATAAAAAGGTAATTATTTTATAAATAGTAAATAATACCTTATATACTAATAATTTAGATATAAGGAGATTTAGTTAAGGATTTATTATAATCCTTTTTAAAGGAATTATAGCTTAGAAAGTATTATATTAAAGTATAATAATAACTTCTACTATAAAAGCTAAGTTATTAGCTTTTTAAAATATTATAAAAGAAATAATTATACTTAAGTATCTTTTCTAGGAAATAGATATTATTTCTAGACTACCTTATAAAATTTTCTATAATAATTAATAAATAATTTATTTAATTATAATTAAAAATTAAAGAATTAATACTAAATTATAATATATTAATATTTATTATTTATAGCTTTAATAAGAATATTAATATAGATTATTTAAAATATTATATCTTTTAATAAAAGATATACTAATAAATAGATTTATAAAGAACCTATTACTATAGTTATTTATTTATTTTTAAGATTTAATTAAGATTATAAAGTTTAAAAGTAATAAAAGTTTAATTTAAATTAAAACCTAATAATAGTATTTTTAAATACTAATAGAAAAAAGAAAGATAAAAGATATAAAAAAGATATAAAATAATCTTATTATTTATTAATAAGATCTTTTACTAAATAATCTATAATAGCTTTATACTATTCTAATTTAGCTAAATAAGTATTAAATATAATTTTATATCTATAGAATAAGCTAAAAGACTTATATTTACTTATAGTTACTATTATCTTAAAAAAGGTTTAAGTAGAATTCTATTCCTTTTTATAAGCTTTAAAACCTATTAAAATCTAGTATTATTTAGTAAAAAAAGCCTTAATTATAAGCTTTTTTATAATTTTTAATAATATAAAAGTAAAGGAATTTATTTTATTAATAATTAAAAAACTAATAGCCTTAAGATTATTTAGAAAGTTAATTTTTATAGTTAGAAGTTAAGGTAAAATATATAAAAAAAAAAGGATTCTTAAAAGACTTAATTAAAATATAATTAAAAATAAAAAGATAGAAAGAAAATATAAACTTAATAGCCTAATATTAAGTTTCTTTTATATAATATTTAAAATAATAACTTATTAGCTTATTATAATAAAAAAAAGTAGTATTAATTAAGGTTATAATATAATAATACTTATAACTTTAAAGGTTTCTTATAAAGGAATATATATATATTATATATAAGACTTTATAAAGACTATTAAGAATATATATAATAGTTTAAGTTATAACTATAAACTTTCTTTAGGTTTTTAAGGATACTTAAGTATTTTCTTTAACTAAATTAAAGATAAGGGAATAGTTATTAATATTATTTAAGCCTAAAAAAATAAAGAATAATATAATAATATTATTTAAGTCTATATTATTAAGATTAAAAGTTAATAAAAGATAAAATAATTAAAAAGAATAATATATACTTTTAAAATTAAATATAATAAATATACTATTTACCTTTTAAACCTTTATAAAAGTTAAAAGCTAAGACTACTTTACTAAATTTAAGTTATTAATACCTTATAAATACTTTAAAGTAAAGATAGTATATTTAAAGTTAATAATATTATTAAGATTAAAGGTTTCTTTATAAGTAAAAGAAGAATAAAGATAAAATATATTAAAGATAATAAATAAAAAAAAAGAAACTAGCCTTTTAGAAAATTAAAAGTAATTTAAATACTCTTATATAATTATTAGAAATACCTTACTTTATATATTATAATAAGATTATATTATTAAAAAGTAATATACTATTAAAGCTATTATTATTTTACTTTTAAATAATTAAAGAAAATAATATAAATAAGTTAATAAATATAGAAAGAAAAAGAAGATAAAGTAATTATAATAAGATTAAAAAGAACTATATATATAAAAGACTTAAATATTCTTTAATTTAATAAAAGTAATTATAAAAAATTAATTTATTAAAGAATATTATTCTTAATTAAATTCTAAAATACTTTTTTAAAGTAGTATAGGTAAAAAAAAAAGGAATCTATTTAAAAGGTATATTATAATTTAAATAAAGATTATAGTATATATAATTAGCTAAAAACCTACTTATAATAAAAAGCTAAAAAGAGATAATAATATATAAATAAAAGAGTTAAATTTAAAAAAACTAATCTTAATTACTAATAAAATTAGATAATAAAAAGATATATTAAAAGAGTATAATTAGGCTAATTAGCTAAGTTAGAAAATAGGTATAAAAAGGAAGGAATTTCTTTTCTTAGTTAAGAAAGAATAAGGTAAAAATAACTATAAGTTCTAATATATATTATTCTTTAACTCTACTATATAAAATTGCTCTTAGTTATAACTAGTTATCTAATGTCTATATTAGCCTGCTTATATAATTCATAGGAGAATAAAGTCTTAGGTCTATCGATATAGGGGATGCGCAGGACACAACTAAATTGCATTACCATTACCAACCGACCGCAGACATGGCGGACTTTATTGCATTTCAAGATGCTAACAGCCTAGCAATAAATAACAGTCGCATACGAAGATTTCTCACATTAATTGCCCTCAAAACGACATCTCGATTCTACCAATGGAACGGCCCCTGTGTCCCGCTCTCGAGCAGAATTGTTGTGAAGAAGGGCACAGACGTCCATCTCACGGAAGCAGCGACCATGGCCTTCATCGCTGCCCGAACGAAAATCCCAGTACCTCGTGTACATTGTTCATTTACTCGTCGAAACGTCACATACATTGTCATGGAGCGCATGCGTGGAAAAACGCTAGCTGATGCCTGGCCGAGCTTATCTGACGCGGACGTGGAGCGTATTCTTTTGCAACTGCGAGGTATGCTCGATGAGCTGCGTGCAGTCCCAGCGCCTGGAACTGCAATCCAGAGCTGCATAGGAGGCTCACTGCGTGATTCTCGCATTCCTCGGCCGGAGCCAAGGTTTGGGCCGTTTTCTACAACACACGCCTTTCATGAATGGCTAAGAGAGGGGCTTGGGCCAGAAGAAAAGCCGCGTTACGTTGACGACGAGGAGTGGACCGATATCAAGTACATGATTGCCATGCAGAATCGGGACTGTGAAAGCCCAGTATTTACCCATGGCGATCTTAACCCTTTCAACATTATCGTGCGGGATGGAAATATTGAGGCTATCATCGATTGGGAATTTTCAGGATGGCTTCCTCCTTACTGGGAGTATACGTCTGTTTGGCTTGGAAACAAGATTAGAGGAGCATGGCAACAAATGGCGGCAAAGTTCATTGACCCGTGGCCTATTGAACTACGAATGGAGACTATTAGACAAAAATGGTGGGGAGACTTTTAACTGGATTTGCATAACATATAATTCAATATTGATATCACTTCTTACTCCACAAGGTGGCAGTGTAATGTGATGCCTGGAAGCCTGAGCACGTTGCCCTCGATCACTCCATTAATAATTGAACCAGCCCCAATCCTTGACATTATGCTCCTTCCCTACTAAGCTCTGCGCGCGTGTAAGTTTTACTTTGTTACCATCAATTGCTTAATAGTGCATAGGATGACTTTCCTCTCTGTCCTGCTCGCAGCTTCGGCGCTACTACTCACACATGTCTATCTCAAGCTTCGGCAACGGCGGTTCAAGCAATTCGCTCAGTTGCCGCAACTGCCGACATCGCTTGTATGGGGTCATTTGCGTCTGTACAGCGAGTTCCGCTCCAGGGGCCCCAAAGATCGACATCCAGGTATGTTTCAGCGGTGCATGTACATACATGTGTCAATACCGGCGGCATCTTGAGGGGACAAGATGGACTAACTTCGTTTGCTTCAAATAGAACTCGTTTTCAAGGACATGCATGACGCGCTGGGCAAGCCGCCCCTCATGTTCGTCGACATGTGGCCCGCCAGCAAACCCGTCGTGCTGCTCACCAGCCACGAATTGGCCGAACAGATGGCCAGATCCTCGTCGAAATTTCCATTCAGTCCGCCCAAGGCGTCTCCCATAAAGGACCTGGTGCATGTCACAGGAGAGAAGTCTATCCTGACGTCCGAGGTAGCTACATGCAATGTTTAGCTGGAACCAAAGTTCTATGCTAATGTACTTAAAGGGCCCAGAATGGAAACGGCTCCGTAAGACATACTCTTCGTCGTTCGCACCAGCGCATCTCATGTCGCTTCTCCCTTGCCTGGTCGGGAAATTGACCCCCACGATTGCTCGTCTCACCGCATTGTCTCAAAGTCAGGAATCGTTCTCTCTCTTCAACGTGGCCGCCAGTCTCACAATAGACGTTATCGGTGCAGTCCTCATGGATGAGGAACTCAACGCGCAGCTTGATTGCGATGTTTCCCCCCCCAAATGGAATCGTCCGTCTCTTCTCGGAGATTCTGCAGACGTATACGTCTCGCCACAGCCAGAGCTGGTGGACCATCCTATTCATGGAGAAGAAGCGTCGGCGGCTGACACGTCAGCTCAGACCCCTTTTGGAGGACGTTGTGGCACGGAAATTTGATGAATATCAGCAGCAAATTTTGTTGGGGAAAAAGCCAGCAAAGCCCCGATCGATGCTCGCGCTCACGTTTTCTGCCAGTGATGAAGCTGAGCTAACTCCCCAGGCTGTGAGCAACGCGTGCGATCAGCTGCTGACGTTCTTCTTCGCCGGGCACGATTCGACCGGCGTGCTCCTCTCGTGGATATTCTATGAATTGTCGTCCTGTTCGCGCGCGCGGGACTGTATCAAAGAAGAACTAGATGCGTTGTTTGGAACGGACACAAGGCCGGAAATCGTGCAGGAGGCACTCCGATCGGAGGCTGGGCCGACCCTTGTCAAAAGAATGAAGTACATATCAGCTGTGGTGAAAGAGACACTCAGGCTGTACCCACCAGCTAGCACCGCGAGGTATGTTTCACCGGGTCGGGGTTTCACGGTTCGAGATCTATCTTCCAGCGGAGAAGTGTACTGCCTCGATGATACCATAATGGTGAACTGTCATAGGATTCTCCAAAGAGATGAGACCGTGTATCACTCGCCAGATAACTTTATTCCAGAGCGCTGGCTCGATGCAGCGGCGGGATACCCTGCAAGTGCTTGGAGGCCATTCGAACGAGGCCCTCGTAACTGTATTGGCCAGGAACTTGCCCTCCTGGAAGCTTGCATCGTGGTCGCTGTTTTAGCGCGGCACTTTCACTTCACGAAAATTGGGTTGGGGGCCTTGGAGAGGGATGATGAGGGGAAAGTGGTGGTTGATAATCTTGGAGTTCCGAGTGTGAAATCTTGGCTGTATCCTGTGAGTGGCCCCTTTGCCCCCTTTGCTTTGGTAACGCACCCTTTCTGAGCTACGTGTTTGACTAAACTTGTGCGCAGATGTACCAGATTACCGCTAAGCCTGTGGATGGCATGATAATGCAAGTGAACTTCTCTACTTAGAGTATTACTTAGCTCTTCAGTTTCCCCCGTTCTAGTTTACGTTTGATCCCGACAAGTTCCGCACGTTTTACAGAAGGTAGCGGCCCCATGGGTGAGTTGAGTCGACAGTTAGGTCGAAGCTACAGGGTAGCACGCTGAGCGGCGTTAGTAAAAGTAGAACATAAAACTATTGTTCGAATTGATCAATACGTATCTAGACTGTCTATGCTATCATAATAATTAGTAAGTAGCCTCTATTTATCACTCTCACGATATTTTAACAGCTTCCTGTACCAGACTCTCAATCTTTGTGCTCTTGTTCAGCAGCTGCAACATCGAAATTTCTATCCCAAATGTCCTGATCAACCAGTTTCTTAACTCTCCGGCCACCAAACTGTCAACTCCGTATCGCGATACAGGCTGGTCAGAGTCAATGTCGTCAGCCGCTACACCAATAAGCTCGCCAATTTGCGTCGTGATAGCACAACGGGCAATCGCCAGCTTCTCAACTGGAGTTGACGCATTCTTCACCTGTATCGACACCGAGGAGCCTTGTCCATCTGCCGCACCAGAACCGGACGAGAGAGCTTGGGCCTGGTCGGATATGGCCTGTGCGACCGCCTGAAAGCGGGGATTACTGTACCAGACAAGCTCATTGATGCGTCCATTGTCGAGATACGAAAGGAATCGGCCAGGCTCCAGGCCAGTAACGATCTGTCCCAGGCAGTCAGGGTCCGCGTTGGAGAGGAGCGAACTCTCTGAGGCAACAGAACCGTCGCAGAGGGCACCCTCGAAAAGCTGCAGAAACTCGGTTTCCGAGACTCCATAGGTAGCATTGCGTTGCAACATCTGCTGGAACGCAAGAGAGCCACTGACGGAGCCTACCTCGAGGATGAGTCCAAGTCCAAGTGCGGTTGCCGGTAAAGATTGCGAGCGTCGGAACCGAGCGAATGCATCTTGGAAAGCATTTGCCGCGGTATATGCCCCCTGGCTTGGTGTACCGACTGTTCCGACAATGGATGAGGTCATCAAGAAGAAATCCAAGGGTAGCTTCTCGGTCGCGTAATGCAGGTTCACAGAGCCTGTCACCTTGGGCAGAAGAACTTTTTGAATCTGTGGCCATGTCGCATTGCTGAAGAAAGCATCCTAAAATGCTGTTAGTATTTGCCCTAATGTATAATTGTGATCCCGTTGGCTGGAACTTACTCCTTCCACCATTGCCGCATGGATAACACCCTTCACCTTAAAACGGGCGGAGATGTTGCCCACGGCGGAAGCAACAGCCGCTTTACAAGTTACATCGCAGCGAACCACCTCGGGGTTGGCACCGACGGCTTTGAGATTTTGTACCAGAGAGACGGCCTCGGGTCTGTCGGCTCCAGATCGGGACAGGAAAACAAGATGGCGAGCTCCACGTTCAACCATCCACATGGCCAAACTGCATCCGAGGCCACCCAGACCTCCAACAAGGAGATATGCTGCTGTGGGATCGAACTTGGCTCGCACAGCCGATTGCGCGACCTGTATTCAGTTAGCGTCACTCGCTGGTGGTTGTGTCCTAGACCGCCAAGCGTACCTTGAGCTTCGCCGCAGGGTCGTCAAAAGTGATGACAAATTTTCCAGTGTGAACTCCCTTGGAGAAGCTACTCATAGTAGATTCGAGTTGAGAGATGCAGAATGAGCTCAGGTGCTGAATAGGCCCAACGACCCCTTGGTCGAGAAGAGCCATCATCTCATCCATTAGCCTGCGCCTTTGTTAGTCCGCGAGAACAGAAGAATTCGGGTCAGATTGAAAGACGAGCAGATTCGACATACTTTGTGATGAGACGAGGCTTCTGGCGGTAAATAAGGCCAAGATCAAACGAAGAAAACGTCGCGTTTCTCTTGAACACTTCCAATCCAAGGCTGCCACCACCTAGCACATCGGTACGACCAACGTCGACGAAGCGACCCAGAGGAGCGATGAGTCTCCATGTTTCGTGCATGGAGTCTCCAGCCGAACTGCATAAAATCACGTCAATGCCATTTTGTCCAGTCGCTCGCATAATATCATCGACAGCACTGAGCTTTCGAGAGTTGAAGATGCGATCGGCGGGAATGCCGAACTCTTCGGTCAAAACTCTGCGCTTGTTATCAGTACCAACGGTCGCATATATCTCTGCTCCGAGGTGTTGGGCTATTCGAATAGCTGCCATACCGAGACCTCCAGTGGCAGACTGGATGAGAACAGACTCGCCCTTCTCCAAGCGCGCAAGATGACGGAACGCGTAAATTGAGGTAAGGTAGGCGACGGGCATCGACGCTGCACCCTGAGATGAAATTCTACTCGGAACCTTTGCAAGCAAAGAGGCTGGCGAGCGAAGATGATTCCCCATGTTACCGGGGATCATGCCGAACACTCGGTCGCCTTCCCTCAGAGTCTGCACGGCTGAGCCAACGCGGGTCACAACTCCAGCACCCTCGGTACTAAGATTGTTGAGGTCAAATCTAGATGTGGCGACAGCAAGATCCTGAGATTTTTAAAAAAAAATTAGTATATATAAAACACAGAGAAAAGAAGAGATAAAATGTGCTTACCTTCATGTTGAGGCCAATGGCTTCGGTTTTAATCTCGACCCAGTCAGTCTCAAGCGGCTCATCAAAGTCGGGATCGCTGCTAAAGTAAAGAGATGACAATACGCCGGGCTGTCGGTAGCGCGCTTTTATTGGTCCCTGAGATCCAAGGGTAGCTTGGCCAACGTCTTCTTCAGTGTTGCGCTGAAAGAACTGGTCATTGAGGGTGGCATCCGCCAACAAGCGCTCAATGTAGAAGGAGCCTCCGCTCAGCACACACTCTCTTTCCACACTATGAAGCGAGGGAGCCTCTTCTAGTTCAATAAGCTTGTGGATGAGAAGCTCAGCAACTCTGCTTGGGCGCGTGTAGCTGGTGTGATCTAATTCCACAAAAGCGTATCTCGACTGCGCATTTTCGGTCGCAATGGATCGGAGGAAGCCCTTCATGATGGAGGATTCAGCAGGGATCATAAGATCGGCCCCCAGCCATACCAAGGACGAGGCAAGTAAGATAACTTCTCGTACTGCCTCGAAATAAGCTTCATCGCGGCAGGTAAAAGTGCTGCCATTGGCGTCGACGAAACTGATGACGGAAGATTTGGGAGGAATTTCTTGGGCAGAGAAGAGATCCACCAAGACAGGACTGAATCCTTGATCAATCAGCAGGTCGAATGTGACATCGGCCGCCAATGGAGTTGTCTGCGAATACACAAGAAAAACCTCTGCTCCCTTCTTCCTTTGCACAGTGTCTGCGCTGGACTGGACAATCTTCGACAACATGACGGTCGTCTGCTGTTGATCACCAGAGTACTATCCCAGCAGTTAGCCAATATCCATAAAATCTCGACACCGTTCTTTAACTTACGTCTTGCAAAGAAATGTCAATTCCTGAGAAGCCAGACTTCTTGAGAGCCGAGTCCCATGACTTCTCATCCGTGCTGACATGCTCGCGACCCCACTGCCCTGTCAGAGTGCGGAACAAGACTTCAGAAGCCAGAGTGAGGTGCGTCGTCTCGAGAAGCAGAAGTGAACCCGACGGTTTCAAGAGAGCCCTAATATTTCTCAATGCTGTTTCGGGGCTTTCAAACTGGGTTAAACAACCGGCTGCGATGACGAGGTCAAATGAACCAGTCTCGAAGGACTGAGCCACGGGATCTTGCATAATGTCCAGAGTCTCGAAGATGACGTGACTATGGTCATCAATCCGTGACTTGGCATCAGTGACACACCATCCCTGTGAGTCGGTAACAAAGTACTCCTGGAATCGCTTCGATGGGCTGCGTCTTAAGGTCCCCAACGCTGCCAGAGTCGCGCCAGCTGATCCTGCGCCCACTTCCACCACACGCATCCGAGGGTTCTTGTGAGCCAAAAGATCCAAAATGTTTTGAAACTGGGAATATGCAGCCTGTACAAAGATGCCTGAATCAAAAAGGTCATTCAACAGGTCATTCTCCATGAGAACCTTGAGGCTGTTTGTTTCTCCAGCAAGCACCTTGTCGAGATTTCTGTGCAGTGCCACGAGACATCTCGCCTCTGGGACGCTAATAAGATTATTTGCCAATCTTTGGATCTCCGCGTCTTTATTTCCATTGCTGAAAGCATTCGCGGCTTGGTGTTTTGTTGAAGCCACCCAGTTCTTGACCCAGTCGCTGAACAGGTCGTGGTTTTCGCCCACGCCCTCGGTCAAGCGCACGGTTTGTAGCTTCTCTGCGATGCTAACAAGAACGTGAACACTCAATCTATCCAGTGCATCATGGGTAGAAATATAGCTGGCTATCTCCTTGGGAGGGAACATGGCTTTCGCGATGGACGGTGTCAGGGTGCCAACATCAGGTCTTGCCACTGGGCGCCAATACAACTCACGAGTTGTTTGCACCGTGCTTGTATCCTCGATACCTTCATAAGAAACACATTTCAGCTCCCCGATGTCTAGAAGAGGCGCCCCGGCGGAGTCGTGGAGCTGCACTTTGGCATAGACGCTTCGGAGTCCGACTAGACATCCGCTTGCCACCCCCAAGGCCTGCTCTTCAGGGAAATCGGGCAACCAGACCGAGACCTCGTCAGCGAAAATTGGGACAAATGCCTTTTCAAAATTCTCGACTTGACCAGCGTGGCAGGAGATGAGAGCCAGCTGAATACAAGTATCAAGAGTCGCGGGATGAATCACATACTGCGACTCCATTTCAGAAGAACGAGTAGGTCTGAGAGACACATTGGCCGATGCAATATTTGCACCTCGGTAGGCTTTCAGGTCCGATAAGCCCTGAAACGCTGGGCCATAGCCGAGGCCGGCTGTGTGAAATCGCTTGTGCCATCGGGAGATGTCAAGCGACTTGGCTCGGTCGTCAATCTTCAGCTTCTTGGACTTTGCAATAACCGTGTCAGTCGTTGCGACACAGATAGTTCCGGTACAGTGCTGATTCCACACGTCACTGTTGGGTAGTATTGAGCCAATGCTAAACTTGTACCACTGTGACATGGCAGCGGTATTGGTCAAAGGTAGCCGCTCCATGTTGAGGAATGTCTCAACCCCTAGTTCGGTATCCTCCACGCGCAATGCAGAGTTGATTGCAACTTGACGAAGCTTGAACGATTTAATAGGAGGAGCATCGTATATCTCGTAGTGCAGCTGAGTGACAGCCTCAATGGCCATTGTGATGTACGCGGCTCCTGGAAGAACAGCATGTGGAAGGAGCTTGTGATCTTCCAGCCAGGGAAGATCTTTTTGGCGAAGAATGTTCCTCCACTGGGGGTGATTTTTTGATCCACCAGGCACTCGCGCTCCGAGGATGTCGTGGCGGAGGTGCTTCCTGAGTCGATACTCCTTGTTGAAACGGTTCTCGTAGTACAAGGGGCTCTCGGGATACGAGTACTTGTAAGGGGGCATATTCAGGCAGAAGAAGCCGTGTTGCAACTCCAGCTTGCCATATTTCATCTCTTCGGTTGCATTCACAGCCGGCAAATTGACCTCGGCGTTGTTGATAAAGAGGTCTCCGGCAAGCGACAACATGCTCACAACGTCGTCCTCACCACGGCGAAGGGATACGCAACAGATCGGGAGTGACGAACCATTTGCCTCGAGGTTTGCACGAATCTGTTTTAAGGGTCCGCCCAAGGCCGGATGGGGACCAATCTCAACAAGGAGATCTACTGGGCTTTCTCTGGCCAGTCTCTCGACGGCATTGGAGAATAGAACGGAGGACTCGAGGTTACGTCGCCAGTATGTGGGATGAACGGAAACGGCCTCCTTCTTCATCGTCACAGAAGAGATCCATTCTGAGATGGGGAGTGCGGGCTCTTGCTGCACGAAAGATTTGATCTCCAGCAGACCTTGGGCCGCGAGATCTTCATACGTTTGACCCAGGGCGGCCATGTGGTGAGAGTGGTATGCATTTCCGCCAGTTTTCAGCACACGTGTGAAGAGGCCTTTGTCGCTGAGTGTCGTGTTCAAGGACTGGATTGCATCTGGCTCTCCTGAGAGGGTGACACTGTTGGGAGAGCTGACAGCGGCGATTTTGACCGCATCCTCAATGCCATCCAAATGGGATTTGGCCTCCCCGACGCCAAGCCCAACAGCCATCATGAGGCCCGACCTAGTGTTCATAGATACGACTTGGCCGCGGAAATAAGCAAGAACGATCGCCTCACATGCCTTGAGATGACCAGCTGCATAGGCAGCTGCAATCTCGCCTGCACGCTTTGTTAGAAACAGCTTAATGTAGCATGGGAATAGTTGATGGGGTACTCACCAGACGAGTGTCCAACAGTGACGGCAGGCACAATATTCCACTGTCTCAACAACGCCAGAAGTGCAATTTGAAGTGCAGTGCAGATAGTCTGCGAGAAAGCCGGGTCGTGGATTTGGCTGGTGGCCGCTGGCTCAAGAAGCGCTCCCTCAATGGACCAGGAGGGTTTCAGGGTGAGTGCACCCAGCACCTGGTCTAGGTATTGTATGGTCTGTTTTACAACTGCGAATTCGGAGAATAGCTTCGCGCCCACTAAAAAAAAAGTCAGTCATCAGAATTCAATTATAAGAGAGGTTATCTACTCACTTTGCGGCCATTGGGCACCTTGGCCGGTAAAGATAAAGCCAATTCGCTTCGCAACGGCGCTGGGTGCCTTGCTGGTTGCGTTCGGTTTGATGCCATTCGGAAGAAGTGAGCCGGATTTGACGACTGCATATGCACGCCTGGCAAAATTTGATCGACGCGCACTGAGAGTATAAAGAACATCGGCCCATTCATACTGCCCCAGCAGGCTCTCAGTCAAAGCAAACTTGTGTTTTAGAGCGGTCTCGTCATGTGCAGAGATTGGGAGCAGCATGTATGGTCGGACGCCTGCTCCTTGCACCTGTGCCACAGGCGCTAGCTGGCACCAGCTAGGGACCCCAGCGTTGGCGTGGCCGTTGCCATTGGCATAGGCATGGCCATTTTCAGGACCAATGCTGTCAGCGTGGCCATTACTGTTGGATTTACCGTTCGCTTCAATCGGTATCAAGGCTCTGGGAACTGCTTCTGATACCAGAGGCACTCCGTGATGCCTGTAGCCAGGAATGACCACGCTTGGGTGGTCTAAAATGGCGTGGCCGTTGGCACCACCATAGCCAAAGCTAGTTGTCGTGTTAGCGGTTGCAGGCTAAAAACTGCCAAAAGGTTTTGAAAAAGGTACATACCTGTTGATGCTAACTCGTCGCAACCTGTTGGCTGGCCATGGTGTCATTTCCGTGACAACCTTGCATTTGGCTGTCTCAAAATCGATGGGTGGTTACAGTTCAAAAGGAGTCACTAATAACCTAAAAAGGAGTTATTCGTTATAAAAGTAGGTCTAAAAATAGTAGTAAAATAAAGCTTATTAGTAAATATATTATAAATATAAAATACTAGCTAGCTATACTAAAGCTATATATAAATAAATATTCCTAAAAACTATATTAAAACTAAAGAATAGATAAAAAAGTAAGAATAAACTAAATAGAATTAATTAACTATTTAAAAATTTTCTACTTATATATTATAACCTATATATAATTAAGTAATTTAATATATACTTAATTTAGGTTTTTTCTTTTTTTTTCTTTTTTCTTTATTATCTTTAAATTTATATATAATTATTAAATTATTAAGTATTTACTTAGAATATACTAATTATATTAAATATAGAGAAAGTAGTATTATTAGTATAATAGTTATAAGTATAATAAATATTAAAAATATATTATATATATATTAATTTTTTATTAGAACCTAAAGAATTTTCTAAGTAAGCTTTATAACTAACCTTTAATAATCTAAGTATATATTAAATATATTTTAATAATATTCTTAAATAATAAGTTTAATAACTATATAAGCTATTAATATATCTTAAACTTTAGTTAATATTATAATAAATATATATTTAATATATATTAATTAATATTAATTAAGTAAAACTTATAAGAATATATATTAGAAAGAAAAGTAATAAAAAGAAAAATAAGTATATATATAATATATATTAAAGTTATATTAACTAACTTATAATTAAATAAAATAGGTAATCCTACTAAATAATAATAATAATATTAATAAAGGTTATAAGTATATATACTATATATATTATATATATACTTACTAACTCTTAAAAAAGCAAGCTTTATTATTATTACCTTTACTATTACCCTTACTAAGCTTACTACCTATAAGTAAATATATAATAACTATCTATTAAGTATATACTAATAGTAAATAGTATTTAAAGTTATAGGTATAAATATTATAATATAAATAATAACCCTATATTTTACTCTATATATTCCTAGTTAATTTTAAAAAGATACTATATTAAGATAGTTAATAAAGCCCTTTATAATACTATAATTAATTATATTTAAGGTACTAATTAGGTATATATATACTATATATATATTAAGTATATACTTATAATATATAAATAAATAAGTATTATATTTAAATATATAGTCTTACTAATAAGTAATTTATATTTTAATATTCTTAATATATACTAACTATTAAAATATCTTTATAGGTTATAGAAATATTAGTATTATTAAAATAATACTAAGTACTTAGTAAATATTTAATCTATATCTTCTTAATATATATTAAAATAGTTAGATTAATTCTTTATTATTATCTTTTTAGTAATTAAAGAAAAGAAAAATTTATAAGTAAACCTAGGTAAATAAATATAGACCTTATATTTAATATATACTTAGACTAATAATACTAAGTATAGCCTTCTTAATAAGCTAATTATAAAGACTTATAATTTCCTTATAGTTAAGGTATAAAGAATATATAATATAAATATACTAAATATATACTAATTATATTAAAAAAAATAATCTTAACTTTATTATTAAATAAAAAAACTTTTTATTAATACCTTAAGGTTAATATATACTTAGTATATATTAGGTACTAAATACTTATAAGTTTTATAGAAAATTTATAATAAATATAGTAAAGGTATAAGTTAATATACTCTTAAAATATATCTAATATATATTAAACTTAATAAACTATAGTTAAATTAAATAATAATAAGAAACTTAAGAGTATATACCTTAATAATATACCTAGTATATACCTACTAACCCTTTAATAAAGATATTAAAGAAAAAGTATAAAACTACTTAAGGTACCTTACCTACTAGTAAGTAAACTTAATATATACCTAGTATATACCTATTAACCTTTAATAAAAAAAAGTATAAAAAGGTAAAAGTATTATTATATTTTATAAGTAACCTAAAATATACTAAATATATACCTAGCTATTAACCTTATATAGTTAATAAAGATAATAGTAAGCTTATTAATATTAATAAGTAGCCTAAAATATACTTAATATATACCTAATTACTAATCTTATATAATAAAAAAGAAGCTTACTTTTTTTACTTTTAAGAGTAAATACTTTATAATATATTTAGTATATATTTATTAACCTCTTATAGAAAATACTTCTAATAATAATAAGAACTCTATTAATAATAGTAAATAACTTAAAATATACTTAGTATATACTTAACTACTAATCCTATATAGAAGAAAAGAAGAAGGTAGTAATTATTATTATTATTACTATTACTAGTAAATAACCTTAGAATATACTTAATATATACTTATTAATATATAATAAAAAAACTATATAAAAATATTACTAAAAATAAAGATAAAGGCCTTACTAGTAAGTAGGCTAGAATATACTTAATATATACCTACTAACTTCTAATAAAGCCTTATAGTAAAAACCCTAAATAACTACTAATAGATAATAGTAAGTAACCTTATATATACTTAATATATACCTATTAATATAGATATAGAAAATATCTATTAAACTTAATTTTCTACTAGTAAGTTAAAATAATAAATATATTCTTAGTATATACTAATTATTTAAAGAATTAAGGTTTTTTTTATTAGGTAAATTAAGGCTAAATAAAGGTTAAGTATATACTAGGTATATACTAGTAAAGTTTATTTTAGTTTTTTTTAAAGATTAGAAAGTAAACTAAGTAGGTATTTAGTATATACTAAGATATATTAGATTTTATTTAAAATTTACTATATTTATAGCTATATACTTAGTATATATAGCTAGAGTTTAGATTTAATTATTATAATAAGGATAGTTATTAGATAAATACCTAGTATATATAGAGAATAATATTATAAATTTATTTACTTTTTAATTTACTAAGGATAGTAAGTATATATCTAGAATATACTAAAATAAATTAAGTTATACTATACTTCTTTATTATAAATTATAAGTATATATTAGGTATATACTAAGTATATTTAGTATATTTATTAGTTCTTTACTATTTATATATTTATATTAGCTATATAAACTATATACCTTACCTTATTTATAATTATAATATATACCTAGTATATATATATATTAAGTTAAATATATATTTTATTCTTTTATTAAGGTCTATATATATATCTAGTATATACCTAGGAAAATAAAGATATAAGTATAGATTATTATTAACCTATATATATAATACTAATAAATCTTTACTCTTTCTATATTATTTTTCCTCTTAATATTACCTTAATATATAATTAGTATTTTACTATTACTTATAATAATAGAATATTTACTATATAAATATATAGATATTAATATTTTAAATACTAAGAACCTATCTAGATTTAGATTTTACTATAATATATATATATACTATATCTATATAATATATACTAATAAAAAGTAAAGCTAATTAAAAAAAAGAAGTAACCCTTTCTCTTATAAGTTAATACCTATATTTATAATATTATAATTAATAAGAGTAGTAGAATATATAGGTAAGTATATATAAAGAATATAAATATAGGTTATTAATACTTAGTATATATTATATCTTTACTTATTATTATATTAGTTTTATTAGTATCTTTATATAATATACTTATACTATCTTAGATTACTAAGTAAAGTAAATACCTCTAATAAAGAGTACCTTATTAGTAAGGAGTATATATCTTCTAGTATTATACCTAGTATATACTAATTAAAAATAGTATAATTTAGCTTTAAATATTAAAAGGTAGCTAGTATATTATATAGTATTAGTATAAGCCTAAAAACCTCTTAAAGATATTACTTCTATATAAAGTAGCTACTAAGCTAGAGATCTTAGTATAAATAAGTATTTAGTCTATATATAGTATATATTAACTATTTATATAATACTAGTAATTTAACCTTTATAAAGTAATATAGTAAAGAATTCTACTAAGCTTTTAAGAAATAACTATTAAGAATATATAAAGGAAAGTAATAGAAGGTAATAAGTATATACTAGATATAAATATATAATAAACTTAAAAAGCTTTAAAAGGTATTATATATTAAAACTATAGACTATATATAATATTAAAGATTTTATTAACTTTATAGGTAGTATATACTATCTATATATATAGTATTATTTTTTAGTATATTAAAGGAATAAAAGTAAAGAATATATTAAGAATAAAAGTAAATAGTATAGAGAATATATTAGCTATAAGTAGAATATATAAATTAATTTTTAAGTCTTTTAATCTTTTCTTTTAATTACTAGTTTTCTTATACTTAAAGGAGATTTTATTTTTCTTTTTAGAGATTTAATACCTCTTAGAGAAGTTATTAATACTAGGTATTTACCTAGTTATTACCTATCTACCCTTCTTAGGTAAAAGGCTAAGAGGGCTAATCTTTAATATAAAAGCTAAAAGGCCCTCTTTAAAGAGGATATATTAAAATAAGCTTTAGAATATTTACCTTTTTTAAGTAAAAGGTTAAAAGGGTTAATTTTTAGTATAAAAGCTAAAAGGCCCTCTTTAAAAAGAATATACTAGAATAAGCTTTAGAATATCTAACCTTCTTAAGTAAAAGGCTAAAAAGGTTAATCTTTAATATAAAAGCTAAAGGGTATATACTAAGATAAGTTTTAGAATATTTACCTTTCTTTAGTATAAGAGCTAAAAGGCCCTCTTTAAAAGATATATTAAAATAAGCTTTAGAATATCTACCCTTCTTAGTAAAAGGCTAAGAAGGCTAATCTTTAATATAAGAGCTAAAGGGCCTCTTTA